TCTGGGTCTGTGTGTTTCATTCGAGCTCTGCTCTGTGTGCGTGCATGCGTGATTGAGCGAGAGAGAGCGCGCACCGGTACCGGAGATCGTTGTGGTTAGCATCTGGTGCTAGCTACACTAATGGATATAAGGAGCTTTTTCCACAACAAAGTGGAGGGAGAACTCTCTTCTGTCAGACTGAGAGTATCAGATAACCTCAGCTCAGGTGAAGTAAAGGACTCTCTCAGTGTTTAGATAGTTAACTTTAGTCTAAGTTATCTCAGTGGGTCTCAAAACGGTTTGGTCACGATTAATGTAAATAAGTATTTCTGAGACACACGTTTATATGATCATTATAGGTATAAAAAAATAAGAGCATAAAAGAAAAACAGGTATGAAATACTATATGACAGTAAAACAAGAATACAGTTTGAAAGGGGAGTGATTTGTAAAATATAAATAATATATATATATATAATAATAATAAAGAAAAAGTAAATCTGTTTACAGTTCTGTTTCATATGGGTGTTGAGAGATGTATCCATATATCTCTTCATTTTGCTCTCAAAGTGCACCATATTGATGCTTTTAATTTCAATATTTAAAAAAAAATCTGTATGTGTGTGTGGGGAGTGTTGCAGTAGAAAATTCAACTGTAGCGACCGGGACATTAATGGGAAACCCTAAATGTTTGAGCACCCTCTATGAAACGTCAAGCTACCCTACAGCACCCCCAAAAGAAAATATCTGGCACCGCCACTGTTAGGAATCAATTAATTTACTGACTTCCTGCCCATACAAACATTACTTTACTGCTGATAACTGTCAGGGTTGAGAGAGGCAAGAAGGACCCAAATGCAGATGAACAGAAAATACCTTTATTTCAAGGTTTAAAGACAGAACTCTTCCCAGTGAACACAGTCCAACAACAACAAGGAACTAACAAAGACTAACAGAAAACACAGAACCTAAAAACTAGGGCCAACAGGGTGGGTGGAGGGGGTCTGGAGGATGGGTTTGGGCTGACAGCCCAGGGGCACAGCGGAGGACCCAGAAGGGGTCTCGGGCGGATGGCCCGGGGGCAAGGCAGAGTTCAAAAAGGGGGACTCGGGCGGACGGCCAGGGGGCAAGGCAGAGTTCAAGGATGGGGACTCGGGTGGACGGCCCGGGGGTAAGGCAGAGTACAAGGAAGAGTCAGGGGGCCAGGCCCGAGGGCGAACACCGCGGCTCTCAGGGGGCCGGGCTCGAGGGTGAAGACCAGACAGCTCCGGAGACTGGGCAGGAACCGGTGTCGGCAGAACAAGAACCGGAGCCGGTGGGACAGGCTTCGGCAGGAACCCCCACGGAAGAGGACCAGGAGTCAGGGCCTCCAACGGAAAAGGACAAGGGGTTGGCAGGACCCCCGGCAGAAGAGTTGCCGGCGGGACCCCCAGAGGAACAGGACATAGGATTGGCAGGACCCCCGGCAGGAGAGTAGTCGGTGGGACCCCCAACGGGAGAGGACACAGGGCCGGCAGGACCCCCGGCAGGAGAGCAGTCGGCGGGACCCCCAACGGGACAGGACACGGGATTGGGAGGACCCCCGGCAGGAGAGCAGTCGGCGGGACCTCCAACGGGACAGGACACAGGGTTGGCAGGACCCCCGGCAGGAGAGTAGTCGGTGGGACCTCCAACGGGACTGGACATGGAGCCGGCAGGACCCCCAACGGAACCTCCATCGGCACAGGACATAGGGTTGGCAGGACCCCCGGCAGAAGAGTAGTCGGCGGGACCCCCAACGGGACAGGACACAGGGTTGGCAGGACCCCCGGTAGAAGAGCAGTCGGCGGGACCCCCAACGGGACAGGACATAGGGTTGGCAGGACCCCCGGCAGGAGAGTAGTCGGCGGGGCCTCCAACGGGACTGGACATGGAGCCGGCAGGACCCCCAGCGGAACCTCCATCGGCACAGGACATAGGGTTGGCAGGACCTCCAGCGGAACCTCCAGTGGAACCTCCAGCGGAACCTCCAGCGGAACCTCCAACGGCACGGACATAGGATTGGCAGGACCCCTGGCAGAGGAGTAGTCGGCGGGGTCCCGAAAGGCACAGGACATAGGGTTGGCAAGAACCCCGGCAGAGGAGTAGTCGGCGGGGCCTCCAACGGGACAGGACATGGAGTTGGCAGGACCCCCAGCGGAACCTCCAACGGACCAGGACATTGGGTAGGGACTTGAGACGTGACTCGAGAGGGGACTTGAGAGGAGACTCCAGAGGGGACTAGAGAGGAGACTCGAGAGGGGAACCAAGGGGGAACTTGAGAGGGTACTAGAGGAGGGACTAGAGGAGGGACTAGAGGAGGGAACTCGAGAGGGGACTCGAGAGGGGACTCGAGAGGTGACTTGAGAGGGAACTGGAGAGGGAACTGGAGAGGGAACTGGAGAGGGAACTGGAGAGGGAACTCCAGAGGTGACTTGAGAGGGGACTCCAGAGGTGACTTGAGATGGGACTAGAGTAGGTACTTGAGAAGGGACTAGAGAAGTGACTAGAGATGGAACTAGAGATGGAACTCGAGAGGTGACTCGAGAGGGAACTCGAGAGGTGACTCGAGAGGGAACTCGAGAGGTGACTCGAGAGGGGACTCGAGAGGGGACTCGAGAGGGAACTTGAGAGGTGACTCGAGAGTGGACTCGAGAGGTGACTTGAAAGTAGGCTTGAGAGGGAACTCGAGAGGAGACTTGAGAGGGAACTCGAGAGGAGACTTGAGAGGAGACTCGAGGGGGGACTTGAGAGGAGACTCGAGGGGGGACTTGAGAGGGGACTCGAGAGGGAGCTGGAGATGTGACTTGAGAGGGGACTTGAGAGGAGACTTGAGACTGTCGGTTCGCCAACAGAACACGGGGGGCTAGAGTCGGCCGGAATGCCGACAGGACACTGGGAGCTGGCGTCGGCCGGTACGCCGACAGGACATGGGGAGCTGGCGTCGGCCGGAGACGAGGGGCTGGAGTCGAAACCATGGCTGCTGGGGCCAGGACTGAGGCTGGAACCATGGCTGCTGGGGCCAGAACTGGGGCCGGAACCATGGCTGCTGGGGCCAGAACTGGGGCTGGAACCATGGCTGCTGGGGCCTGTACTGGAGCCGGAACCATGGCTGCTGGGGCCAGAACTTGGGCCGGAATGGCTGCTGGGGCCTGTACTGGAGCCGGAACCATGGCTGCTGGGGCCAGAACTGGGGCCGGAACCATGGCTGCTGGGGCCAGAACTGGGGCTGGAACCATGGCTGCTGGGGCCTGTACTGGAGCCCAAAGCATGGCTTCTGGGGCTAGGGCTGCTAGCTTGGACCTGCGACTCCTTCTCTTAAGAGCCTTTTGGAGGCTCCGTGGACCTCCAAAAGCCAGACGAGTTCCAGAGAATGGCTCCTGGACAGGAGCAGGAACTGGGGAAGAAGCAGAGGCCGACTCCAGACGGAACACACCGATGCGTGTGGTGTCATAATGGGAATTGGGAGGCAGGGAGCCAGCATGGCTGGGGCTAGCAGGCAGGGGATAACACACTGAGAGGAAATCCAAAATCCAGCCAGGTAAGAATTTCACTAAATCTGGCTTCTCCATAGCCATCTGGTGTGCCTCAGCCAAAGCAGCCTCTCGCTGCTGAACTCCAGACGCTCCCCTCCACTTATCAGAACAGCCAGCCAAAGAAAAGGAAAAACTGAGTAATTCCAACTCAAAAGGATCTGCTGGGCCCATCCTTGGTTAGTTCCTTCTGTCAGGGTTGAGAGAGGCAAGCAGGACCCAAATGCAGATTAACAGAAAATACCTTTATTTCAAGGTTTAAAGACAGAACTCTTCCCAGTGAACACAGTCCAACAACAACAAGGAACTAACAAAGACTAACAGAAAACACAGAACCTAAATGCACACATGACTAATCAAACAAACAAGAGACAGTTGAGGAGGGAGGAGAAAACACAGGGGCACCAGGTGAACACAATCGGGTAATCAGGGAGGGAAAACAGACAGAAACCAACAGGCAAAATAGGAGGTGAACACTTTTACAAAATAAAACAGGAAACCAAAGACAGAAAAAGACAAGACAAAACACAACACAGACAGATCGTAACAATAACAGTGAAAATATTAGAAGAAAGATCTCAGGGATTGGTGGTTTCTTCAGCTTCAGAGTAGAGCGTTCAGGTCTCCAGCATGCTGCAACAAAACTAAGCTGCTGTGTTTGTTTCCACAGCAGAGGCTCTAGAGTGAGACTTCCCGGCTCCTTTGGGCAAGGCAGTGAGCCGGCAGGGACAGAGAGAGGGGAGGTGTTGAGAGATTATCAAAGTGATCGGGGCATAAAACCTCAGAATATTCACTGCGAGGAATGTAACATCTGCTAATCCCATCACAGATACACAAACACACACGCACATACACACACACACACACACACACACACACACACACACACACACACAAGCCTGATTCAGAGAGACGCTTGTTCTGTGTTACTTTAATCTCAATTCATTAGGACAAAATCATCGTTACTGTATAATGCAGCAAAATAAAAGAAATGCATATACATTATATATTTAAAATACAACTGTAAAGCAAATAAATGGTTGTTTACTAATAATTTAAAACATGAACTAAAGCAGTTTAGTTATGAAGAGTAAAATGATAATAAAAAGGTAAAAACATAAATATGTTTTGGTTAAATGTTTTGTGTCCAGTTCTACTTACTTAACAACAGGCCAAATCTATAGCAACAACAGAAAAAGACAATCAAACCCCCTATTTTGTAAAGAAAATAAAGCTTTTAAACTTCAAAAACTCCGATTTTTGTGTAGTTTCCCAAAAAGCCCTGTCATTTAAACAGTAAATGTTGACGCATGTATTAAAGGTGGAGTTTAAAATATTGAGCAACTTTTCCCGTAACTTGGCTGTCCCACAATTGTGATAAGCAAAGGAGTATTAGGGGAGAGGATGGGGATGTAAGCCAGAGAGGGGGGTGGGGTTGGGGGGGGGGGGGGTATTAAAACCGAGTGCTGGCACAAGGACTGCAGGAGGAGCACAGAGTCTGAAGGCAGAAGAGAGAGGAGAAGCTACCTGAACAGTCACCATCTGCAGCTCAGACTCACCATGCTGTGGTTTCTGCTGCTGAACTGTGCGCTCTGCATGGGAGGACACTCTGCAGCAGGACAGAGAGGTGAGAGAATATTTACATTTTCTATTGATTTCTATGTATGTTGTGCAGGTGGGAAACAATAAGGGATATTAAAGGTGTGCCATTGATTGATTGATAAATGAAGGTTGCCATGGGCATTCAAAATCTACCACTCCAGCATACAGAATTTGTGAAAACAGAAATATCAAGACCAAAAAAGTCTAAGATGGATGAGATAATAAATGTAAAACTTGAGTTAGGATTTTTTGGTTTGTTAGATTTAAATGTTTCCATCAATATTTTCTATAATGTTTATTGGTATTCAACCTTTGGGTGATTCTGAAAAAAACTCTTGTTTTCTGTGCAAAGCCTTTCTAAGTACATGTCTGTACTTTCTCACAATGAGGAAAAATAATCACTGTGAGCTTTCTGTGGTAGAAAAAAAGAGTCCCATTTACCTTCCTATTAGCAGTGATTTATTTGCAGTATCTCATATTTCTGCTGTGGAATCCATTCAGTAAACAGAGTTGCTCATAATGGGGAAACCACATTTCCTGCTCCTGGCGCTCAGGAGGTTTCTGCCCTCGCATCTTACGACTCCTCCGGGGGAGGGGATGGTGAGAGCGAGAGGGGGGGGGGGGCGATGTGGTCAATTAGCAATATGTTGCGTAAGGATTTCACCCCACCTGAGCATCCCCCTGCTGTTTAACCATAAGCTTCATAAACATGTCTTTCAGAGAAAGCATTTGTTGGCACTAAGGCTTAAAACATTTAGAGGCCGATCAATATGTCCAAAACACAATTTGGACACTGAAATAAAATGACGGACATTAAATATGGTTATGGTTAAAAGGGAGTGACCCTACTAAATGTCCCTCAATTTTCTAAGACTCTTGTGTCTGTTGATTGTAAAACTTCTGGGACAAACACAATAGATATTTATCTGCAGCATTGTTGGATGGTTGATATGATTTTTTAGAAAATCCAGATCAACACTCACACTGTAACACTGAAGAAACAGAAGCACAAGGACGCTATGCGCACACTGTTTAGTTCTTGTTGGCACACAAGCTCGAAAAGTGTATCCTCCAGAAAATCTTGTATCATTCCATATCTGGAAAATCTATTTCACTATCAAAACATCACTGACTCCAGCGAATGCGTGGGCGGTGGATAAAAAGGAGGCCTGGTGGCTGAGGAGAGTCAGGTATTGGACAGGCACTGGATCGTGTAGTACAGGAAGATGTGTGTTCCCCCCACACACTTTCATATTTGCTCCTAAGTGAGCTTCTGATGCCAGATGTTGAGCCAACAGGAGTTTGAAAACCTACATACTCTTATTTTTGTGAAACTTGGTTATGTTGGTATTGTGGGTTGTCAAGAATGTGATGATTATGTGTTTTGTCTTTTATGTGGAACAGAATTTTTTGCGGTAATAACTAATGGTAATCCTGAATTAAGTATGACAGGAAGATTAAAGAGGTGTATGTGACATGCCACACACTCACACATACGCCAGTCACACACACAATCAGTCCCCTGTCTTATACATATTGGCTGTTATTTGAGGCCTTGTTTTCAAAGTTGTATTTCTTTGTCATTTAGACCACATTATCTAAACAAAAAACAAGATGTGACATAAAGTATTGAGGGTTTTTCACTTATTAAAAATGACAGCCCAAAGCCCACAGGGAAAGGTAACATTTATCATCAATTCTTTGAGATGAGAAGTAGAAGGTTTGTTAGAGATGTGCTCCATATAAATCCCCCATTTAAATAGCAAAGAAAAGAAAAACATGACCTTCAACACATTTGGATTTGAAAGACTCAAACTGTGTTACATTGTGTACGTGTGATGTTGGCAGGGTTTATCAGTTTGTCATTATTGTCGTGGTTGTGAAATATAATTATTATGATGATTTCTTTTTTTTCAGATGGGGAAATGATCAGTCAGATAAAAATGACAAACTTCGCACTGGATGAGATTAAAGAGCTTTTGAAACAACAGGTGAAATAGTTTAAAAGGTCACCTATTGTGCAAAATTCACTTTTTCATGTATTTTATACATAAACACGTGTGTAAAGAGATTCTGAAAGTTTCAGGAAAAAATATTTGCTCACTTTTTGTCCTGATCCATTTATATATGTGTTCACAGATTAATAGCAGTGCATTTGAATATAAAAATTGGATCAGGAATTCAAATTCTTAAAAAATGCTAGAAATTTATTTTGAATAATCTCATTTTCAAAATGATATCGTTTTTCCATAGTAGGTTATTTTAGTAACATTTTCTTTGTTTTCGAATGTTGGATAGGGATCGAGGCATCATACGAACATTTGATTGATTTTTCTTTTTCAGATAAAAGAGATTGTTTTCCTGAAGAACACGGTGATGGAGTGTGAAGCCTGTGGTGAGTTTACCAAATACATAAAACTCTGTTTCTGTATTTCACTTTTCATTAATTTCAAAGAATTAAAAGCTCGCTAAGTACTTTCTATGCTGATGATGACCTCTAATTTTTGAACTTCTTAGCAAGGTTATAATGTGAAGAACTCTTGTACTATAGTGAGCATACTGCCTCTCTCCTCAGGGATGGGAGGAATGCAGCCTCGTCCCTCCTGCGTGCCGAACCCCTGCCACCCAGGGGTGAAGTGCAAGGAGACACCTCAGGGTGTGAAGTGCGGACCCTGTCCTGATGGTACGGAGGGCAACGGTACCCACTGCACTGATGTCGACGAGGTACGCAAAGATATTATATATAATATATAATACAATACAGCGCTATGATGGCTAAATAATAGTTGTTTAGGTTTACAGGATTCATAGCCTCCAAGTCATATGCTAATACTAATACTAATTGTGAAGTTTGACAGCGTGATTATTTGGGTCTTCTTGCAGTAGTCTGGTTTTCTAAAGCAGTTTTGACCCAATATAACTATTTTTGCCGTGAGTTAGTTGAAATCAACAGAGATAAATAAAAAGAATTCATATATATACTTGTGAAAAGCAGGACATTACTTTTTTGTCTGGTAGATTATCCTCAAGAAAACACGTGAACCACTTTTTAAAAGTGTGTTTTGGTCAACAAGCTAAATTAGTTTTCATAAACCTGGTTGAGTTCAAACATGTTTAATCAAATAAATGAAATCATACATAATAAATACATTTAAAAAATCAGGAAGCTACAGAAAATAATTATTTATAATATGACAATTGATGTCCTATTTTTGTTTGTCATAAGGGAAATTGTATCTATGTACACATTCCAGACTGCAAGTACAGAATTTGTTAACTAAATGTAGTTAATGTTGTTTTTTGTGTGTCTGTGTCTTTGTTGCTGCAGTGTACAGTTATGCCGTGTCACATGGGTGTGCGCTGCATAAACACCTCCCCAGGTTTCCGCTGCGGCTCCTGTCCTGCTGGGTACACCGGCCCCCAGGTCCAGGGCGTCGGACTCGCCTACGCCACCGCCAACAAACAGGTCTGCAGCGGTGAACACACAAACACTCACTGTTCAGCTCCTCTAATCTGCACTCTGTAATTCTTCTACTGTCTACTATTACAACAAGGGAGGGAGGGAGGCCTTAAGGGGATTTTATCGATTAATTGATCTGTTCCAAGTGCAGTTTAATTTACTGAGGCAATCGTACAATATATTTAATAGTTTCTGATTAAACCTGAGGGATAAGAAACTCTCCTCTCTGCACGTCAAAATGTTTGTCTTTGCCTCCCACTAGCTCCAGTCTAAACCCATCATCAGCACCTCTTCTCTCTCTTCTGTACATACGTCACACAGTGTGCCCTGGTCTGCTTCAGCAGCACCTTAATCCTCCACACAGGACTGTTTTCAATCAGCTGCACCTAATTTTTTATCTGCACTTTTTCCCGTTTTGATAGATGGAAGATATTTGATCCTTTTTTGTCTGTTTGTCCTCTCAAGGTCTGCAAAGATATCAATGAGTGTGAAGGCATCAACAATGGAGGCTGTGTGGAGAACTCTGTCTGTATGAACACGCCTGTGAGTAATCACTATACAAACTTACAATACTGAGTCAATCTTTGAAGTAAAGTAAACCCACAACTACAACCAATAAGATAGATGACTTCAGCGCACTTTTGCATTATACCACAAACCATGTTTCTAAAGAGCCACTTCATGCATTCAGTGTATGCATTCAGAAAATCTCACTGAATATTGAGAAAAAAAGCAGATGTAGAGATAAAAAAAATCACAACTTTTTTAACTTTAAACAGAAGGAGTATCATGAACATTTGATATTTGGTTAATTGAAGATAGGGTGAAAGCTATTGATGTATTCAGAGAAAGCATTGGTAGCATCTAAATCTAAAAGGTGGGAGGCTTTGTTTGGTTTAACGTTCAGGTATTTACAATCCTGATTGAATGACTGCACCTTTAAAGCCTCTGCACAGAACACAGCAATCCTGCAGGTTCATTGCATGTCACAATGACATAATACACTGTCTTATTCATTCTGAGGCAAACAATGCGAGCAGAGACATCCATCTATGTCAGTGCTTCTCAAACTTTTTTCAGTCATGTACCCCCTTTGAAACATTTTCTCAGCCGAGTACCCCCTGACCTACCCCGAACATTTTTGATCGAAAAAGCCTATATAAATAATTCCAATATAGTGATGTACAGTATTACCTCCTTCATGCATGCATTACAACAAACTAAGGATATTTTCATTTTATGCATGAAAAAACATAATATGAAAAAAAATGTAAACTGATTTATCCAAGGAGTTTTTCAACCGAAGTAATATCTGTTTAACAAACCAATGAACACAATTATATATTATGCAAAACTATAAAATACAATACACACATTTGACATGTTTATATGAGGACCCCCTTGGTGGCTCTAGGAATATTTTATATACAATTGTGTTTTCTATTTAACTTATTGTACTAAGATTATTTTTGTAATCATGCATATTTTTTTTATTAACTTTTTTTATTATTCTTTTAAAATCTCACTACCCCCTGCAGTACCCCAACGTACCCCTAGGGGTCCGCGTACCCCCATTTGAGAATCACTGATCTATGTCACACTCACGTGTTGAAAATGCAGCAAACAAAACCAGTCTGTTTTTTCCTAGTTTTTTTCCTGAGAGATTTTCCACTGTGTTTTGTGGCACTTCAATATCAGTAAGTAATATGTCAGTATAATTTACGTAAAACCCAAGATGGTGCATACTTTCTCCCTTCAGTTGCTCAGCGCACCCATGGAGATTCCTTTACAACAACAATACTACCATACAAACCTAGCCTGACGATTGTCCCTTGTCAGTGATATAACAGGACATTTCCCTGTGTGTGTACAGGGGTCCTACAGGTGCGGCCCCTGCAAGACGGGCTATATTGGAGATCAGCGGCGCGGCTGTAAGCCAGAGAGAGCCTGTGGAAACGGCCAGCCCAACCCCTGCCACGCCAGCGCCGAGTGCTTCGTCCATCGAGAGGGTCGCATCGAGTGTCAGGTGAATAAATCAAACATTCTACTTCTTGTTCGGACTCTTTTCTAAGAGCAACAATTAGCAATTTCACTGTGCAGCATCCCTAAGAAGGGGTGAGGGAATTATATATTTTAGGATTGAGTGTGACCTTCATTATTAATTCATTAGTTTATCCTTGCTGAATAAATCGCTCAACAGGGACCAATGACAGTTGGAGTTGATGTGGGATGTTGAGATTATGTTGCAGCCCAACATTGCTTTAAAATTAGAGCATTTAATCTTTAACTCTCTTATGGCTGCAATTATTTGTAGGCTCCAGATGAGACAGTCTGGAGAGCTGCAAAGTAATTTACTACGTTTGTAAGAAGCTGTTAAACATGTAAAGGCCCAACTCTCTGAATCATATAACTTTTGTGCCAGATTTTGTGAATGTAAAGGTCTGTTTGAGCGCTTAAGGTAATCTGGTGCTGTTCGCAGTACGCAGCAGGGCCAATAAAAACAGACAGTACAGTACATAACACATTATCCCTACTCACAGTGTGGAGTCGGGTGGGCTGGAAACGGCTACCACTGCGGCCCTGACATTGACATCGATGGTATCCCTGATGAGAAATTGGCCTGTCCTGAGAAGACCTGCAACAAGGTGAGTCTCCTGAGAGCCTCCATGAGAAATCTTTAAAAAAGAGTGACACAAAAACAGCACAAATGATCACAATTTAGTCATCTGCAAAGAATACAATACTGATGGGAATTATGTATCATTGGAATACCCCAAAAATAACTTACAACTAAACCTCTTTGAGCTTTAGTGGTTCTTAAATTGTCCTCAAAGCATTTCATAAATCTGATTTTAGTTGACTTTAATAATGACTTTTTTGTCTTTTAGGATAATTGTCTCACTGTTCCCAACTCTGGTCAAGAAGATGCCGATGGTGACGGCATGGGAGACGCCTGTGATGAAGACGCAGATGGGGACGGGATCTTCAATATGCAGGTTCATGAACAGAAGTGACAGAGATGGAATAAAACATGATTTAAACACGATAAGCCTGTGTCATCTTTGTTTATGTGTGTGTTTGCAGGATAACTGTGTGTTGGTGCCTAATGTTGACCAGAGGAACGCCGATGAAGATGACTTTGGCGATGCATGCGATAACTGCCGCGCAGTGAAAAACAACGACCAAAGAGACACGGATGTGGACAAATATGGTGACGAGTGTGATGAAGACATCGATGGGGATGGTCAGTATTTCACATATTAGTTACAAACACATCTGTTGATTAAAAACATATATTGTATATATTAGGGCTGTCAAGTTAATGCGTTAATAACGCGTTAACGCAAAAAAAAAAATAACGCTACTAATTATTTTAACGCGATTAACGCATGTGTATTTTTTTTCCTCGGCCGCCCCGTAGTTTCAGAGCGCATCGAGTTTAAAATACCATCTACAAGCTGATGCTGACAGCCCCGCTCCTGCCGCCCGCTTGTGGCAGACCACACTTCCACGCTCACCGGCAGGCACCGACTGGCTATTGGGAGGACCGGGAGGGTGTGTGTATGTGTGGCTCGAGCGAGCGAGAGAGACCTTACGTGCATTCTTGTTGTTAGCATCTGGTGCTAGCTAGCTGCGCTAACAGATATAAGGAGCTGCTTAAATGAAAACAGAGGAGCGACATTTCGCCGACAACTGCGCCGAGCACTTGACTTTATGCAGGAAGCCAGACAGTAGGACATTGTACGAGAAGTCAGCACACTCAGCACGGATAGTGCAATATGATTGCAGCGTCCAGGCAGCTCCCGTTCGAGCATATGCCTTGAGTTGCACATAGCTCCAACGATCCATCTCTCACACACACATACACACACACACACACACACACACACACACACACACACACACACACACACACACACACACACACACACACACACACACACACACACACACACACACACACACACCATTTTTATTGTATTAGGTTCCAGGTTGAATTGAGGCGAATATTTGTAATGTTCAGAAGTTGTTGTGTTTAATATTCATGAGAATATTTGTCATTGTTCAAATGATAATAAACATTAGCATAAAGCATATTTGTCCACTCATATGTTGATAAGAGTATTAAAAACTTGAAAAATATTCCTCTAAGGTACATTTAAAACAGATAAAAAATGTGCGATTAATTTGCGATTAATCGCGATTAACTATGGACAATCATGCGATTAATCGCGATTAAATATTGTAATCGACTGACAGCCCTAGTATATATATAATATATATATAATTGTAAACACTAACATTAGTGAGGCCTGTAACATGAGTTATGATTGTATAGTTCTTTGACATATATAGTGAATACAGCTCAATACATTTTATATACCAAAAATGAGAGAAAGACAGTACTAGTGGTTACATGAATATTCACTGGTTCCAACATTGATTTCAAGGAATCCTTAATCACCTGGATAACTGCAAAAAAGTTCCCAACGCTGACCAGAAGGATCGTGATGGAGACAAAGTGGGAGACGCCTGCGACAGCTGTCCTTATATCCCAAACCCAGACCAGGTCAGAAATCTCTCTCCGGTGTTGTAAGAAGTGTCGACTGTGTTTGAGTCCAGAGCCTGAGAACAAACAGTTATAACTCAACAGACAGAACACAGTAACATGCATGTCACACATTACATTACATTACATTGCATTTAGCTGACGCTTTTATCCAAAGCGACTTACAATAAGTACATTCGACCAGGAAGACACAACCTTGAAGAAAACAGAATCATATAAGTACATCAGGTTTCATAGAGCCAAACATTTCAAGTGCTACTCAACTGGCTATAGATAAGCCAGTCCTTTATTAGTATATAAGTGCTTTGTTAATAATTCTATCGCTCGAAGTGGAGTCGAAAGAGATTAGTTTTCAGTCTGCGCCGGAAGATGTGCAGGCTTTCTGCTGTCCTGATGTCAATGGGGAGCTCATTCCACCATTTTAGAGCCAGGACAGCAAACCCACGTGTTTTTGCTGATGGGAACTTGGGTCCCCCTCGCAGCGAGGGTGCAGCGAGTCGTTTGGCTGATGCAGAGCGTATATAGTGCACGCGCTGGGGTGTACAGTTTAACCATGTCCTGGATGTACGAAGGGCCAGATCCATTCGCAGCATGGTAAGCAAGTACCAGTGTCTTGAAGTGGATTCTAGCAGTTACCGGAAGCCAGTGAAGGGAGCGGAGGAGCGGAGTGGTGTGTGAAAATGTAGGAAGGTTGAAGACCAAACGAGCCGCTGCATTCTGGGTGAGCTGCAGGGGTCGGATGGCACATGCAGGTAGACCAGCCAGGAGGGAGTTGCAGTAGTCTAGGCGTGAGATGAGGAGAGCCTGGACCAGAACCTGCGTCGCTTTCTGTGTCAGCTGGGGACGTATCTTCCTGATGTTGTAAAGCGTGTATCTGCAGCAACGGGTTGTAGCAGCGATGTTTGCAGTGAAGGACAGGTTGCTATCTAGGATCACACCCAGATTCCTTGCAGTCTGAGTCGGGGAAACAACAGAGGTGCCGATGTTGATAGTCAGGTCAAGAGTGGGACAATCTTTTCCCGGAAGGAAAAGCAGCTCAGTCTTGTCAAGGTTGAGCTTGAGGTGATGAGGAGACATCCACTGAGAGATGTCAGCTAGACAAGCAGAGATGCGTGCGATGACCTGGGTCTCTGAGCGGGGAAAGGACATAATTAATTGGGTGTCGTCAGCGTAGCAGTGGTATGAAAAACCATGCGGGCTAATGACTGATCCGAGCTAGTTTGTGTACAGGGAGAAGAGGAGGGGACCAAGAACAGAGCCCTGAGGGACCCCTGTAGTTAATTGACAAGGGTCGGACTCAGACCCTCTCCAAGTTACCCTGTAGGTACGGTCTTTGAGGTATGAGGTGAGGAGGGAAAGTGCAGAGCCTGAAACTCCACAATTCAGATACGCTAAATTAAAAGGAATGCTTTGGTTTCAACTTCATGAAAATTGTGAGAAAATATCAATTATAGCCAATATAAACCTTAATGTAGAATAATCAAAATATAAAACATTTTAATAAAATGTATGACTTACAATGTAACAGTCAATTTAACTAATCTGCTTCATCTGGACAGTGTGGGTGTTTTAACTACATTTAAATAGCAAAACAAGTTTGTGTTTGTCAATAGTTCATTGCACCGTAATTTATGTATTCAGTCATTGTGATAAATAGAAATGTCATTTCTTAGAACACTTGCCAATGATTGCAAAAAAAGCCTAAAAACAACTTAATAGCAGACTAGTCTTGACCTGACTGTTCTCTCTCATACTCACCATTATTATTTTCATCTTTCTCAGATGGATGCTGACGACGACTTGATTGGAGATCCCTGTGACACCAACAAGGACAGGTACCTTGTGACCTCATCAATCCCACTATATATTTAAATGAAATTATTATTTATGTAACAAGAGTACTGGAGACCAAAAGCTGGATTTGTCAGTAAAAGTCTCTCTTGTCCAGTGACGGTGACGGGCACCAGGACTCGAGGGACAACTGTCCGGCCGTCATCAACAGCTCCCAGCTGGACACGGACAAGGACGGCCAGGGGGACGAGTGTGACGATGACGACGATAACGACGGCATCCCTGACCTGCTGCCCCCCGGTCCGGATAACTGCCGTCTGATCCCCAACCCGCTGCAGGAGGACTCGAACGGTGTGTAACACCCCTGACTAAATCTAGTAAATAAACAATAACGTAAAGGGTTTAAGACGTTCTTTCTATCTTCTCAGGTGATGGCGTTGGCAACATTTGCGAGGCGGATTTCGACAACGACACCATCATCGACGCTATCGACGTTTGTCCAGAAAACGCTGAGGTCACCGACACTGACTTCAGGGAGTACCAGACCGTCGTTTTGGATCCGGAGGGTGACGCACAGATCGACCCCAACTGGGTGGTGCTGAACCAGGTCAAGTAACTAGCTTGTTTAGGTTTTATTTATGTGCTTTTAGATCCCAAAATCCTTAATATCTTTTTGGTGCGATACAATTTATCTCAAAGATTTGTTTTTGTTTGTGCAGGGAAGAGAGATAGTCCAGACTATGAACAGTGATCCTGGGTTGGCAGTGGGTAAGAGCAACATAGAGCAATCCAAAAACGCCTTGGATCACAGCTCTCTTGTATTGACAATGTTTTCAACCAACTGCAGGTCTTCAACTTCAGGCAAAAAAGTGAAAAAATATCTGACAATGTTTCCTCCAGGTTACACGGCTTTCAGCGGTGTGGACTTTGAAGGGACCTTTCATGTAAATACGGTGACGGACGATGACTATGCAGGATTTATCTTCGGCTACCAGGACAGCTCCAGTTTCTACGTGGTGATGTGGAAACAGGTGGAACAGATCTACTGGCAGGCGAACCCGTTCAGAGCCGTGGCAGAACCTGGCATCCAGCTGAAGGTAGTCCCCTGCCAGCAAGAAATTAATCATCATAGTTATAAGATAAACAAAGTACCACTTTCTGATAAGGCTCCATTTATAAAGGTTTATTAAGCTGGCAATGATGGCTTTAATAATGCCAAATAAATGATGTATTACTGATCTAATTATGGATCAGTTCTAAGGCTTTTTTAAGAACAACCTTTGTGTTGCCCCGTTGTGGAGAATCCTAATTAGGACCACTTTGCAAAAGTTAGTTATCTGAAGTCATACATATGAATAGGCTACATCACAAGTAAAGAGTTCTTAGAATCCATTAAATCCCATCAATCAATCAATCAATCAATCAATCAATCAATCAATCAATCAATTAATCAATCAATGTTTATTTATATAGCCCAATATCACAAATGTTACATTTGTCTCAGTGGACTTCACAGTTTGTACAAAATATCAGTATGACAATACGACACCCTCTGTCCTTAGACCCTCACATCGTACAAGGAAAAACTTCTGAAGAAAACCCACAGTTTTAAAGGGAAAAATGGGAGAAACCTCAGGGAGAGCAACAGAGGAGGGATCCCTCTCCCAGGACGGACAGACGTGCAATAGATGCCGTGTGTAAATTGAAAAGATAATACATTTGCAACATAGGTAGTCCAAATGTTTGGAAATGCATGTGTGTATAATAGGAAGATGAATCCACGAGGATATCCATCCAGGACCTATGATCCAGGACCACAGCCACGACTCAAGATCCAGGGCTCGCGATCCAGGACACAGGACCGTAGGATCATCCATGACTCCGGATCCCAGCGTATATAGACACCAAAAAGAAAGAAATGTGGGGAAGCTGGGTTAATCGGAACATGAGAGTACACAGGTATAGACAGAGAGAAGGAAGAAGTAAGATGTCCCCCGACAAACTAAGCCTATATCAGCAAAACTAGGGGCTGAATCTAATCAGCCCTAACTATAAGCTTGATCAAAAAGGAAGGTCTTAAGCGCACTCTTAAAAACGGATAGGGTGTCTGCCGCCCGAACACAAACTGGAAGCTGATTCCACAAATGTGGAGCTTGATAAGAAAAGGCTCTGGCTCCCATTGTACTTTTAGAGACTCTAGGAACAACCAACAACCCTGCATTATTGGAACGCAATGCCCTAGTAGGACAGTAGGGTATAATGAGTTCTTTAAGGTAAGATGGCGCCTGCCCATTAAGGGCTTTGTAGGTGAGAAGAAGAATTTTAAATTATATCCTGTGTTCTATAGGGAGCCAGTGTAAGGCAGCCAGAACAGCAGTAATGTGGTCCCTTTTCCTAACTCTGGTTAGTACACGAGCTGCAGCATTTTGAATCAGCTGAAGCGACTTGACTGACTTCTTGGTACACCCTGATAATAAAGAGTTACAATAATCCAGCCTTGAAGTAACAAATGCATGGACTAGTTTCTCTGCATCGTTTTGAGGCAAGATATGCCTGATTTTTGCAATGTTACGTAGATGGAAGTAGGCGGTCCTTGAAATTGATTTTATGTGGGCGTTAAAGGATAAATCCTGATAAAATATAACACCAAGATTCCTTACAGTCTCACTGGAGGCCAAATTAATGCCATCCATAGTTAGTATATCTTTAGATAATTTGTTTCGTAGATTCTTCGGGCCAAGTACAATAACTTCAGTTTTGGTCGTGTTTAACATCAAAAAGTGTAAGGTCATCCATGTTTTTAAGTCCTTGAGGCAGTCTTGAATTTTATTTAGATGATTAATTTCATCAGGCTTGATTGATAAATATAGTTGAGTATCATCCGCATAACAATGAACATTTACAGAATAATTCCTTATAATATTGCCTAACGGAAGCATATATAATGTGAACAAAATAGGTCCGAACACTGAGCCACTCCATGGCTAACTTTGGTTTGCGTGGAAGATTCATCATTGACACGTACAAACTGAGAGCGTTCAGATAGATAGGACCTAAACCAGCCTAAAGCAGTTCCCTGTATGCCAACTAAGTGCTCTAGTCTTTGCAATAAGATATCATGATCGATAGTATCAAATGCAGCACTGAGATCGAGCAAAACAAGAATAGAGACAAGTCCCTTGTCAGAGGCTATTAGAATGTCATTTGTGACTTTAACCAGAGCTGTCTCTGTGCTATGATGTGTTCTAAAGCCAGACTGAAAATCTTCAAATAAATCATTGTTTTTTAAGTAATCACACAACTGTTTTGCGACCGCTTTCTCAAGAATTTTTGAGAGGAACGGAAAATTAGAAATAGGTCTATAATTGGCTAAAACCTCTGGATCGAGGTTGTGCTTTTTAAGAAGCGGTTTTATCACTGCTACTTTGAATGATTGTGGAACATAGCCTGATAATAAAGACATATTCATCATATTTAATAAAGAAGTGCTAATTAATGGAAAAACTTCCTTCAACAGCTTAGTTGGAATTGGGTCTAACATACACGTTGATGGTTTAGAAGAGAGAATCATTGAATTTAATTGTTCAAGGTTTATGGCTGAAAAGCATTCTAGTTTACTATCTAGTGTAATATTAGAACTTACGTTTCCGGGAGCTGTTGATAACAAAGGTAACAAAGATAACTGGTCAAAGGCAAGAGGTCATTCATTTTGTTTCTAAGAGTAACAATTGTATCGTTAAAAAAGCACATAAAATCATTACTACTGAGTGCTATGGGAATAGAAGGCTCAATCGAGCTGTGGCTCTCTGTCAGCCTGGCTACAGTGCTGAAAATAAATCTTGCATTATTCTTATTCTCATCTATTAATGAAGGCTAATGTAGGCTACTCTCGCTTTACGCAGTGCTTTCTTATATTCATTGAGAGTAATATGCCAAATTAAACGAGATTCTTCAAGTTTAGTGGAACGCCATATCCTTTCAAGTTGTCTCGACTTTTGCTTTATTTTGCGGGTTTCGGCATTATGTTATGGAGCTAATCTATGTTGTTTTATTTTCTTCTTTTTCAAAGGAGCAACAGAGTCTAATTTTATTCGCAGCGCATCTGTAGCACTATCAACAACATGATCAATTTGGGGTGGTGTACATTTTGTATAAGTTCCCTTCCCTACATGCAGACATGCTATCGAGTTAAGTATTGGTGGAATCTCTTCCTTAAATTTGGCTATAGCACTAACAGATAGGTTTCTGCTGCAGGAGCTTTTGACTAATGCTTTGTAGTCTCGTAACAGTACTTCAAAAGTTACTAAGAAATGGTCGGATAAAGCAGGATTATGTGGTTCGACTAATAGTTGCTCAATTTCAATACCATAAATCAGAACAAGGTCGAGAGTGTGATTATAGCAGTGGGTTGGTTTATTTACACTCTGACAAAAACCAACAGAATCTAATATAGAGTTAAATGCAACAGTAAGGCTATTTTTATCATCGTCAACATGAATATTAAAGTCACCTACGATAATTACTGTATCTGTTTTAAGTACCAAAGTTGATAAAAAACGAATTCTGAATAAGGACCTGGTGCACGGTACACTGTAACAAATAAGATTGGCTGCAAAGTTTTACAGGTCGGATGCGTAAGACTAAAAACGAGACTTTCAAAGGAGGTATAATTTAATTTTGGTTTAGTATTGATAAGTAAACTTGAGTCAAAGATTGCTGCAACTCCACCTCCTCGGCCCACGCCTCGGGCAATATGAGTATTGATATGGCTGGGTGGAGTGGCCTCATTTATGCTGACATATTCTTCATGTCTCAACCAAGTTTCAGTGAGACAGCATATATCAATATTATAATCTGATATTAAATCATTTACCAATATTGCTTTAGATGCTAGAGATCTTATGTTTAAGAGACCACATTTAATATTCCTGTTTTGTTGCACTGTAGTAGTTGTTACATTTACTTTTATTAGGTTATTATGTATGACACCTCTATTAGGTTTGACCTTAAATTGTCCTTGGGCAGACACACACACCGTTAATATTGGGTATTTTATTGGGTTCGGGATTCCTATGGATGACTGCCTAGGAGAGAGCGCAGAGAAGCGTGTAAGACTGCGACTCATCAAGTCTGCAGTTGTAATTTGTAATACATGTATACATATTTATAAAGGAAATTTGGTCCAGAAGTTAAGTGTTTGAAAGTCCAGAGCCAAATCAAAAAAGCATGCTAGGCAAGTTTTTCTCTCAAACTCAAAAAGTTGTTCTTATTTTTGGCTTACAGATGGTCTAAAAGCAGTAGTTCATTATTAACTAAACATTAACAAACCCATTCATTACAGTTATAGTTTTATAAATGCTGTCTTTGTGTGTCTTAGTGGAACTGAATACCAGTATTTGCACTAGATGACGAAGTAATGCCTTGGTTTGGGCTAAACTCAGTGACCAGCTGTTAACTACTTTGTGCAACTGTGTTTAAATGTTACACTAATCAGTTCTTTCTCCAGCATTAAAGTAGTTTTAGCACAAAGAGTTTCCATGATATGCTCACTGGACATGACAGATTACTCCAGAGACTCAAGCTGCTTGTCTTCTGTGGTTTTGAAAAGGCCGTCAAGTCGAACACGGGTCCAGGGGAGAACCTGAGGAACGCCCTGTGGCACACCGGAGACACCAGCGATCAGGTCAAACTCCTCTGGAAAGACGCTCGCAATGTCGGCTGGAAGGACAAGACTTCTTACCGCTGGTTCCTCCAGCACCGACCCGCAGACGGCTACATCAGGTACCGAAAAACAGTAGTACAGGAAAGAAAACGTCTTTACTAGAATAGAGATATTTTATCAGTCTGTGCATTGTCTGGTGATTCACATTTAGTCTATAGACTTCAAGTCCACATAGTCTTGTTTTTTAATGAATACAAATCCATGTGTTGCTAACTTACATTCTCCCTGTCGCAGAGTACGTTTCTACGAGGGTCCTAAGATGGTGGCGGACACAGGCGTCATCATAGATGCCACGATGAGAGGAGGTCGACTGGGAGTCTTCTGCTTCTCCCAGGAGAATATCATCTGGGCCAACCTGCGTTATCGCTGTAATGGTGAGATACCTTTTCCATTATTGTTAATCCAAGTATGTAGCTAGGACAAAAATGTATGCCTGAGCATTAGACTCACCTGTGTTTAACAGAAAATAAAGGGCTTGTGGAAATAGGCAAATATAAATGCCAAATAAAGATATGAAGGCAGTCGTAAATGCCAAAGTAACTCTTCTGATGCCTGTTGAGTATTTACCCTTAAGGTGCTCAGACTGTAAACCAAACAGTGATTTCACCTCATGCTGTTTTCTGTGCAGACACTCTCCCTGAGGACTTCGACACTTACAGAGCCCAGCAGTTCCGGCTGGCGGTCTGAAGACACTGAGCGAGCCCAGGGAATTCTGGGAAACAGGTTCCAAAGCACAGCTGGGATCAGAAATAAAACCATCACTTATATACAAAGGCTTGTAAGAAGTCAACCAAATATGTTTTAACATAAAGACTGATATATAAACTCCTGACATCAGGGAAAAGTTTTCGGAGCAGCATCAGGAAGACAAATAGTTTTTAATTGTTTAGCAAACGGAAATATCTGTCATAAATAATTTTGTGACTAAATATTGTCCTATATTGTATTCAAATTTCAATTTATACTTTGAAAGAACTATTGAAAATATTTAACTGTCACTGATGAATAAATGTGGATTTTGGTAAATAATGTGCATTATACATTTTATGCATTATATTTTAATATTAACCAGCAATTATGAAATGTCTAATGAGGAAGGTAGTCTTAAAAGTGTCAACATGTCAGAGAAGTGCGGAAAAAATGTTTTCAAAACTAGTCAATTGTTATTTAAATTACTATTACTATATATATATATATATATATATATATACATATACACTGTATGTATATATATGTATATATTTTGTGTCATGTAAAGCAGCTTTAAATATCTAGAAATAACATGTTAATGGCTTTACTGCAGAAGAAGTCAAACATTTTGTTTTAAGTAACAGACGTGACGTTTTTTCAAACTCAACAGCTTTTAGTGGAAATCAACATTCTGAACATTTCACAAGCATGCACATATCCAAAATAATCTTTTAAATTTTGCATTTGGAAATACAGATTACAAAATAGAAACAATAGCAAAGACAATATACAACAGGATCGAACACCATGCATGTCCACAGCAAACACGCTGTGACGTTGTAAAATGACATCGGGCCGCTTTTTTAAATCAGCATTTTCTGAAAATCAAGACTATTTGCAGAGAAACATCTGTCTTCCACATTCAATTTAATTGACATTTTCTTTCATCTTATAAACAAATGGTCACATAAGGAGAATCACATGGCAACGAAGAAATTACTACAGATCTTTTACTACGACTCACAGGACAACAGTGGTTTATGCTATTATCACTAGAAGCTTTAAGTGGAATTTAAACTATGTTTTTCCAAAGACAGTTGTAGAGTCATTTAGAAAACCCTGTGTTATTAAGGGGACATTTTATTCAGACCTAAAACACCCTGGGAACAAGCAGTAAAGATGGAGCACCAACTCTTTATTTTTCACGTGGGATCAATGATACGCCTTTTAACACAGGACTCCTGTTTAAGACTGCTCTGCTTCTTCAGTTTGGGACAAGATATCAGCTTCACTGCTTTTCAACACAACATACGCTGCGCTAACAAGTAACTCAAGAAGTCAGTGGAGGCTCAGACCATAACAACCAGATGAGTAAACACTGCATAACTTGGAAAATATAAATTCATTTTGAGGTGATTTGTTCATCTCGAGACGGAAACGAAATTTCGTTCAGTAGCCATAAAAGTGTTTCAGTGTTTAGCTTCAGATGCCTTTTTTGTGAAATTACCTCAATGTCTCAAAATGCTAATTCATGCTCTACACGTGAGAATGTTTCACCACCAAGAAAGGATCACGCAAAGATATCCAAGTCTGCCGAACAAAGTTTACTGTCTTTTTTATTTCTTGAATTGAATTGAATTAGCTGCCTAGCTTGAGTTAAATTATTTGTGTAAAATGTTGTGGCTCTTAGCTGACTCTATAGACAACAAACCAAAGACAATTAAAAAAGGAATCTAATTATTGTTTACACTATATGTTATTTTCTATCTCTGATGAGCTACAACAGAAGTGCAGACCAGTTGGAGTCCATCAACTTTTCAGTGGTACAACATTTTCTACCTCCAAATATTTTGCAGGTAGATGTTTTTCTGCAGCATTTTACATTAAATGAAGGATGGTGTACTGGAGCAGAGTTGTTTGAAACATTTTCCTTTTGATTATATCTCATTGTTCTCATGTGACCTGAACCCTAGAGTTACAGTGTGCTCTAGTGTTGTGTAGTCAAGATGCAGAGACTGCTTCACATGAGTATATTTCAGGTTGCCACTATCATCTATTTCTCTGTAAGATCCATGACTCGCTCAATGTGGGGGTGGGGGGGAATGACCAACAAAGAAATACATTCGGAGTGCCGTTCTGTTCCAACACGAGAGCGCAAGCTGCACTGGAGTAAGCCCTTTCTAGTTTTCCATCCCCTAAAATCTTCACAGATAAAAAAAAACAAGACAAAACATATTTTACAAAGAAAAATAGAGTATTCGTCTTTTTCTTTGACATGAAAATACCTCTGGAGTTTAAATCCGGAGTGAAACAGTCAGCATTCACATCGGGCAGAACAGTCCCTGCTCAAGAGCCAGGAAGTTACAAATAAAGTGCGAAGCAACTAGTTGACCAAACATTGCACAAAAACAAACAAAAACACTTCACACAGTCCCACAGCTGACATGATAGGCAACAACAATAACTCAGCATAGCCAGATGTAACTCCTGTACATAACTTGGGAGAAGAATCAGCTCCACGTGTCTATCATGTCAGTCGACTGCGTAACGCACAAGCTTCAGAAGATTCAAGTCCACGTATGCAAACAATCAGTGCACGTGCCAATCTGCAAAACACAACCTGATTCCATTGTTTTAAGAAAGCCAAAGGGTTGTGCTGAAGAAGAGGAGAGGGCCTGCGTTTTTGTTTACACTCGTACGTGAGATGCTACAGTGAGAAGAGAGTGATTCCTCAGAAAAGAAGAGAAGGTGGCGACTGAAGAGCAGAGAAAAAAAACAAAACTCCAAGCAGAATTTGGCAAACAGGCTAAAACTAGGACGCTGCCACAGGTAATACATTCTTATCATTCTTGAAGTAGCATTATACAGAGATGGAGGTAACAGAGCCACAGGAGAAACCCATACATGCATTGCTTTAGACTTTGTGATAGCGTTATGTTACACAAATCAAACCTGCAGAGCTATAGAAGGCCTTCGTTAAGAGGTTTTGACTGTCAGTTTAGACATGCATTTTGTTTCAGCTATAGCATATGTACAAGATCAGTGTGGATGACTAGTATTCAGCAGGATGACAGGAAGGAAGTGACGGGGGGCTCAAATCACTGTTGTATTACTGATTAATTGCTGCATTAATAGCAATGCAACACTGGAGTTTGGGCTCGAACACATATGTTGTTTTAGGGATAACACATTTGGAAACATGTAATATGTAGAGAATGAGTTGTATACATTTGTTTTAGTGGCTTAAAGGAAATATCCAACAGATTATGGGAAAGTGTTGTGCATTTCTGGGCCTTTTTCTTCCTCTGATGTGACAGGCCTGGTAACAAATGTCCGGATATTTTCAGGAAATAAAGTGAAATGTTTGATTAATTTTAAACATTGAAAGTAAGGTCCAGCATCAGTTCAGTGTAGGATTAAAGAGAAAGGGTTTCTTTCTTCTGCAGCAACTTTGCACTGATGTTTAACAGTCACACAGGAAGAGATGCAGGTGGAGGGATACATATGGAGGAAGATAGGTTTGAAAAAAAACGTTTAAAGTAAAGCTGGATTTAGGTTTCTTGTTACTCTGGTGTAGGAATATATTTGTAGTTCAGTGTACGATTTCACTCGTTGATTGTCATAGCACTACTGCAACACTCATTTTCTTAACACAAAGCCCCGATGTTGAGCTAAACCTTCAGTTACAAATGTGTTCACTGACTGAAAAGAAGACGACTAGAATGGCCATTTGTTGTTTTGCATTCATATTCAATTCAATACAATAAATACAAATTGTACATACTGTAGGGACATAGAGAACATAGAGAAAGAATGGCTAAGTGGACAGTGGATGAACTGTAAAGGGCCTTGCTAGAAAACAAAATAAATGTGTCCAGTATTATTGAAAAGGAGAATATTAAGCCTTTTCTTCAAATCGCTCAAAGCTGTCCTCCAATCTACTATCTCTACCAACATCAGTCACATTTAGGAGAAAACAGCCGGATACGAACACAACAGATCTTTCTTTATCTCTATATATTTGCGGTGTAATTTTCCTTTTTTTGCCTGCTTTCCCACACCATTTCAGAAGAATAAATCCAGCTCAAGTCCAGAAATAAACAATAAAACATTAAAGATGGATTTTTCCTTTAAAGGTCTTTTTTGTTGTTGTCTCATTTGCATAGGAATCACAAATCTGAAGAAGGCAAACAAAACATTGGATGCAGGGAAACAGCAGACGATTAACACTTTGACTGAATCAATTGAACATCAGTAGATAGAGTTGTGCAGTAAACCAAACGTGATTCCTTTTGGGGAGGGGGTTGGAAAACCTTCCCACAGCGCTTTAGGCGAGTCAATGATAAGCACGTCTGTACATGAACATTACAATATACCAAACATGATCCCACACACTTACACACACCTCCCAGGGAAACTCTGACAAAAGGCCAAGGCAGATTAGAATTTGACACATTTTGGCAAAGTCATGGATGTAGTCAGAGATGATATCAATATGTACATGTTCAGATGACACTTGACATGAAATGTGTAAACATTTTTCCGGTAAACAGTTTTAGACTCGACTACATCCCTGGTTGTTTTTGCCGTTTCTAATACTGAATGGAGCTGGGCCGATGTCGGTGCTTTCTGAAATGTTGCATACAATACTGAATATATAAATACACTCATATTCTTTCTTAAACAGGCCCGGTATGTACTTCATCCAGTTTACAACATGGGAGTAATCACAGACGCTCTACAATGAAAATATCCTCATATTTATAAATTAAAATTTGCATCATACGAAAACAACCAGTCAGAAAGGGGTGTCAAACTCATTTCATCGCGGGCAACATTAGCATTATGGTTGCACTCAGAGGGCCGGTTGTAACTTTAAGACTATATATAAATGTAATATATATTATATATGTAATGTATTATATTACATGATTGCCCCTACATTGGATTATTATCACATAATAATAATAACTTCATAATTAACTACGTCTGAAAGCAGAAGTCAAGGGCAAATCATTGAAAGTCTCTTCAGTGTGCATGTCCCAAATTGAGATGCATTGTGGGACATGTAGTTTATGGACAACCTGCTTCTGTAAAGCGGCATGTAACCGTATAATAAACGTATTATATTCTTTGCAAATTAAGACGCAGGCCGGATTTGTCCCGTGGGCCTTGAGTTTGACACCCCTGATTTAGAGCAGTTGATACTGTTAAATATCCAACGATGGACAAATAAATCCTAAACTCGGCATGGTACTGTTGTTATTGACGACCTCTATGGCAAAGGTCGTTAGCGTTTTTGTTAGAGCTTCCCTGTCAAGGAGCAAAAAGCCTCCCCATAATTGCGCTCCTTCTCAAACACTTTAAACCCATCCTTTGATTACTTTAGTGTTTTCGCCCCACTTTAAAAAACATCAACAATTTGGCTATAAACTGTACCGATACAAAATACAGTACATTGATTTGTCAAACCTTACACAACATAATCACAAATATCACTGACCAAAAGTTGAGTTCCTCTCAAATACAAGAAAATGTTACAATAAGTTACGAAAATACGTTGTCACATCAGACACTTAAGTAGAACAGTAGAATACTCATGTAAGGCAAAATCAGGTGATTTCACAGTGACGACTTAAAAAGATTTAAGATTTTACTGTTTAAAAACAGACGGCTTTCTTCACTGAGAAGACGCTCAGTCTGGATATATATATATTGGCTTTTCACTGGCAGAAAATTAATTTGGATGTGTTTTCTTGCTTTCTAGTTAAATAGAAATACCTGATGATTTTCTCAGAAAAAGTTAATTCAAGTGGCGTTAAACCAACCCTTTTCTGGAGCACGCAGCATTTTGTGGAGCTGTGCTAAAACTATGATATTCAGATTGGACCGTTGGGCTGCAGCATGGCAACGTCTACAAGTCCTACATCAGAGAATGGCACATCGAACACCAAAGAGCAACTATGGGGAGGTTTTGCACTCCTTCATTAACCAAGTAGCTTAACAAACACATATACAAATATGTTAGTAATTAATAAATAGACACAAAGTACATCAGTGCAATTTTACACTATGCGTACAGAGAGCATTTTGGCATCAAATTTAAATATGAAACGGAATATAAAATCTTTAACTAAATAAATAAATAACATGAAACTACATAAAGCATCAAAACATACAGTACATGATGAAAAAAACATTTGGTTGTCAAAAATAAAGCTTTGAGTGTGAAATAGAAAGCCGTCGCGGCACGATGGGACAAGCGAACCGGCTGTGGTTTGTTTTTCTTCTTCTTTTGTTTTTTAATACAGCCGCTACAACAGGTAGGGTTGAACCCAACGTCCGAGCAGCTTCCTGCTACGAGCAAATATCACAAAACAAAAGTGGATATGAAAAGAAAAAAAGTCATATGTGCTATTTTTGGAATATATGTGGCATGTAATGGAACACTGTAAACACAGCAGGCTAGCGAAAGCGCTGAGCAACGAATCTCATTCAAAACGACAGCGAGGCCATTCCCCGGTAAGCCACTGGATGTCTTTTTCCCTGTTGTCTTTTGGTGGCGCATCGTTTCAAAGGGAGTCGAGGGCGAGGTCGGACAGCTGGACGGCCATGCAACGAGGGAGAGGGTTCATCCGGCCCTTTGGTTCTCTCATTCACAAGTTAGTGTGTTTTTTTTCTTCTCCTTGTTCTCGACCAGCTTCTCACGTTACAGCCTGTCCATCCTGAACGTGTCCTCGGTGGCGGGGTCGGTGAGCACCATGTCGGGGTCGTTGAGCATGTGCAGTCCGTCCAGGGTGAGCGGGTCGATCTTCAGCTCGTCCAATGGAAACTGAGAGTCTGCGTCGAAGCTGACGTCCCCGACGCCCGCCAGAGAGTTGGTCAGCTCTTTGGAGAGGCTGGGCGGAGACTCGCCTGTGACTGAGACACGTGATGTCAGAGGAACAAGTGGGAACTGACATCCCAAACAAACAGGCAGGCACCCTTTAAACTCGCTCTACGTTTGACAGTGAGGAACACAGGCAGGCGAGTCCACCAATATCAATTAATAAACTACCTGGCAACTAAAATAACAAAATAAGTTGTTAAACTTGCATTCAAATATAAATAAATTCCTACATATTTTGTATTTAAAGTGCAACTACTGCAACACAGTATCATTTAGCATTAGGTCAGTGAACCTGTAGTTGCTTGTGTTAAAACAGTAAAGGCTAATTTGATCCTGGGGAAGCAAGTCAAACGTAATACTTCTCATGATACTCGTCATAAAGTACAGTTCTCTGTAATTTAATCATGATTGTGTTCCATAGAAGAGAATAAAGGGTGTTAAACGTGACAGGGGCAAAACACTAAGAGTTTTTTTGCACACATGTACAATAAGGTGTATCTGATGGACAGGTGGTGTTGCTACCTGTGAGGATGATGTTGGGGATGTTGCCGTGGTTACTGTAGCCGAGCTGCTGCGAGTCCTGTAAGCTGCTCCCGGTGAGGCCCATCATGGCCGCCTGTGTGTAGTTGAGGGTGGAGCACTGGTTGTAAAGGCTGTTGGAGTTGATGGGGTTCTCGATCATGTTGAACTGCTCCAGCTTTAGCACAGAAAGATAAAGTCAGGTACAGAGCGGGGAACACTTTTCTGTCATTGTTGCTTTTCGTTGCTTTTGTCACCTGGTGAGAGAGGGCATTGGTCTGCCTTAATGTCAACTGCTGATCGTAGAAGGAGTCGCCAAATATACTGCCCACCATGGGAATGTGCTGGAGAAAGAGAAGTGAGTCCCACAAATCAGAACAAATGTCAGGAACGCAGCTACATATAAAAGCCTGTAATTAAATGAGCCAGAAGGCAAGTTATCTGGGCCCACAGGTAGACAGTTCAGCGATGGAAAAACACAAGCAAACACACAACAGTCAGTCTGAGCAGCGCCCGAAGAAGCAAATGGGTTTCATGACCAGGGCTGTCGTGGTTATGAGACAAAAGAGGAGGTTGATGAACCCATTTTAAAAAGTGATTCTCCTAAACACCTAATAACTTTAAATGAAAAAACATGAAATGGAAATATGAAAGTGTGGCTGTTTTCCCCATCGCTCAGGACAGGACACACTACAGTGCTGTTCACTGTAACACAAACGCAATCAACCTGCTAAAAAGGGAAGTTCTAGTATTCCTCCACCGAAGTGATATCCTGACATGTTTGTCCTTTACAACTATCGGTCAGCGTAGCACTTAGATCTCACTCTGGCTGTTTTCCAAACGTGGCAACAGCAGCTTTCCAAATGAAGATGTATTTAAGAAACAGTTTTACCAAACTGCAAAGCGTATTTACAGAAGATGAACTTTCAGGCTGAAACAACTACCTGCATCATTGGATCACCTCTCTTTTCATTATTTTGGCCTTTATTTCATCTTTTGACATCAGTCAAATTCGAACACAGTGTGTTGATGATTTCTGTAACTATGATATTTGTTGTCAAGTTGCAGTAGATCAAAAGTAAGACAGTCTTTCCTAAATCTCTACATTGTTGATGGTGGGAAAATATTAATTTATTTAGGTAGTCAAGGTTGACAAAGTGTAACAACACTGGCCAGATAGTCAAATACTGGAATGTCCCTTGGAAATGTTCTTGCAATGAGGAAAGCACTAAAACTGAAACAAATCTGAACCGAAGGGCTTTACAACTTAATTCGATAGTAAAAGGCCCCCACAAAGAAACCCTTCCAGTCCACTGAAGAAGTCAATATGGAGGCAAACAGTGATTACATTTAAAATATTTTAAAATCAGCTTGGCAAATGTTTTAAGGAGGGAAATAAATCCAACACAATCGATACATTGATACACACGCTGCGTTTTGTGGGAGTGAAATGGAATTCAATCATAACTTTTTTAGTTAACAAACAACCTCCCAAGGGTATCATTAATCAAATGATCTGCTATTCAACAATTAAATTATATATTTTAGTTTTAACATTGCCATTGATAACTTCATTTCATTTTCTTTACTTGATGTGAGTAATTGCTTTACTTGATGTGGCCTTGCACCTTGACAAGCACTAAACACAGAAAGTGTATTATTAAAACACATGCAAGCTGTCTTTGCCTTTCTGCCAAATGTTTTACTGAAGTCAGGATAAGCTCAGATGACTTTCCCCCAGTGGAGAGAGTGATATGTTTTTGTTTGTGTGTATGTATATAACAGATGTAAACTGAATGTAGCTCTTTGCTCCGATAGACTCACAATAGACCAACGGCTCATTTTACCATTAAAGGGAAGCATTGCCTTTCAACCAGCTCTGGATCGTTCCAATGAGGTTGGTTTGAGCCAATAAACAATGTTTGGCTTTCTTTCCATGTTATTGTCTGGGGGGCTCTGGGCTCCAGTGACAAGCAGTGAAATCCGAACATCTCTCACTTGCACATTGCAAAGGTAACGTCCGGTTTAAATTCAGCAAATGTTCCCTTCAAGTCTGACTGCTGATAAAGGATCATAGTACGATTTAAAAAAAAGTCAAGAACATTATTGTTGGTCTATTTGTTTATTTGTAAGGAGTAACAAAACGAGACAAAAAACCTGAGACCCATCATAACTGCAGCTCATCCTGAGAGAAGTGTCTAAATCCTGTGTGGTGCATAAAGGGGACGTCAGACTATTCATTTTTACTGAAGAGACCATGAAGGCACCATTGTGCAACTTTATGAAACCTAGCTCTACTGGTCGATAACAGCTAACTGCTAACGTTTACTAACTTGAAGTCTAACCACCACTATCGCCATGTTGTCATGCACACAGTGAGGAGTGAGGGACAGGGGTGATGAAGAAATGAGTGTGCAGCTGTTGACACCATGAGTGGTTACTGCAGGTACAGAGGATGAAAAGCAGCCTAAACTCATCTACAGTTAGCTTTCCCCCAGGCGCGAAGACCTTCCCCAAACAGCAGCTAGCTCGGTGGGTGGGCCCTTACTTGAGGCGAGCCGCCGGGGGAGAAGCCTTGATTGGAGACGGGGGAGGTTGGAGACTGAGTGGCTGGTGAGCCAGTCTGATTGCGGTACTGTTGGAGGGAAGAGGGTTAGCTAGCACTAAGCTTCATGCCTTTCACACACAAATCTCAAAGGGCGGGATGTGAGAGGGCATCAAGCATCGATCTGCTCATTATGTACAGTGTGTTTGGGTGGGAGATTATACCAATCACCACAATATCAATTTGGAAAACTCTTCGGCTGTTTCTGGAAAATGTGATTGTGGAATCTGCTAGTCCTACTTTGGTTAAATGGTAAAGGTAAAGTGGTGTATTACTGTGTATCATAAGCTTATTTCATCTAATTGCTTGCTTCAGTTCACACTCATCCATCCAATAAAATAGGAAAATGATCCTACACAAAAGCTTACAAATTGCTAAATATTGAGAACATATAAATCAGATTTAAAAGACATGAAGAAATCTTACTTCAAATGAACATAACAAAAAAGTTAAAAAGGCATACTTATCAGATGAGTTTATATACATTTCCCCTAGTAAGGAGTACACAATCCTCAAGTCTCAAAACCCAGTGACATAAAAATAATACTGATATTTCCTGGCATGTATTCTGTGTATCTTAATAACTTTCAGAACAATAAGGCGGCAAAATGATTAGAAGAAAACAAAATGTCTTTATCTCTGCTTCCACCAAACGTCTTAGTTTCTTACCGAGCCGATGCTGGCGGTGGTCTGACTCTGGCTGTCTGGGGAGGGGCTGCTGGAGGTGGTCCCGGGGGAGGCCAGGGGGGGCAGGGTGATGAGCTGGATGCCCTGCGACAGCGCCTGCTGCTGCTTCAGGAGGTCGTTCAGCAGCTGAGCCTGGGCCTGCGCCGTCAGCTGGTTGAACAGAGGGAGCTGGGAGAGCTGCTGCTCCAGGGTCAGCGACTCTGTGGACATGTTCTGAAGGAACACGCATAGACTCTGTTTAGGCTGGTCCCGAAAAATGTGACATAAGTTAAATGTACGGAAGAGTATTTGAGTGCAATTCAGTTCCTCGTCCTCCGAGTGCCAGGTTTTCGTTAGTATACATTTTGACTGTTCCTCTACTAAAAAACGTCAAACCATCCAATTCTAATGACCATAGGTAATAGTTTGGAGATGTTCTTATGTCAAAACTGATTTTCTTTACTACTCTCTTTAGCAAGCGATGGCATAACAACAAAACCAGTTGAATGTTACATGTAGAGCAGCAAACTAAAACTACCGAGCTTAAGGACACATGTTTAAAATGAACATTTCACTCAAAAGTAAAACATACATATTGTTCCTCTTACCTGTGGTGCTCTTTATCAATCTACACTGGTTTGGTGTGAGTTTCCATGGGGATGTCTGCCTACTTTCATATATAATTGAAGTAGATGGCATGTTGCTCTCAAAGAGCCAAAAAATACTTAAAAACTTCCAAGCCATGTCTATTTCCAGAAATCATGACCCAGTTACTCAAGATAATCTTCAGGCCTCGCTGTGAGCAGTCTCATGTAGGAACCATTTTCTTTCTTTTATCTTTCTTTTTTTCTTACAGATTCTATTTGGTGAAAATCTCAAATCACAACAAAATGATTGATAGACAGCACTACAGGTCTGAGGAACATCATGTTTGTTTGTTTTTACTTCTGGGTAAAGTGTTCCCTCATAGTTCTCAGAGCAGATCCTTACCTGTGTGATGTTGACGGGTGAGGAGAGGGTGGGGGAGAGCTGCTGGGGGGACTGCTGGAGATGGAGTTCAGAGGTGAGGGTGAGCGGCACCACGGGGGGCTGCCGGCGCTGAGACGTTACAGTCATGGTGGGCTGAGGGGAGCTGGGAATGCCTGGGGAGGGACATAATAATAATAATAATCATCATCATCATCATCATCATAGGTAAGACAAAGGTTTCTTTGTTTCCCACTCAACTCAAACCAACTGAGTGCTGTAAAGTTAAAACACAAACCTTTATCGATCAATTTCATATTGCCTACTAATGAAATATTGCAGGGCTGCGATTTTATTTTCATTTTTAATTAATCGGGATATTTATGTGATTAATTGTTTATTGTATTAAATGTCAGACAATTGGGAAAATGTCCATTCCAGTTTCTCAAAGTCCAAAGTGACATCTTTATACAAGTCTTTCTGTTTACAGTCCAAAACCCAAGGATATTAAGTCTAATATGATATAAGAATGATAAAAGCATATTTGAGGGCGCATTCAGATCAGCCTTTTATAGTCCGGTTGAATCGAACCCTGGTGCGTTTAGCCGCGGTTCGTTTGGGTCGGTGTGAACGTAGTCCGAGACCTCTTAAGTGAACTAAACAACCGGACTCTGGTCCGCTAAAAGAGGTGGTCTCGGACCGCTTGCTAGTGAACTCTGGAGCGGTTCATCGCTGGTGTGAACGCAGTCCGCACCAAAACATAGGAAGCGTAGTATTTACGTGTCACAAGAACGCGGGTGTCTTCATTTCTTTAGTAAAAGAGTGAAGCAGAATGAAGTGTTGAACACAGGTTGAACAGTGTCGTGTAAAGTAAAAACAACTATCAAACTAAAAACTATACATAAAAGTCAGAGCCACCTGCCGTCGGTGAAACCCCCACCTTACTGCAGAACGTCTCATTATATGCATTATAATGTTTTGTATCGCACGTTGTCTGATCATATAATCATATGCGCTGTTGATATGATCTCCAGATTAACAGCAGCATGAAAATAACCTGCCGATGCTCCATGGCGGAGGCTCTGGTTGAAATTGCCGGGATTTGCGTTTTTACCCCTTTAATGTCTGACCAATGGTTGAACAGCATTTCCGAGCACATGACTTGTGTTTAAAGTTTATAGTCCGTTGTGTGAACGCAAACCGATCCTTCTGAAAAATGAAACAATGTAACAAACTGTGGTCTGGTGCGCCCCAGAGAAGCGGACTATTAGGTGTGAATGCACCCTGAGAGGCTGAAAAAAGCTAATTAATGAGTATCAAAATGGTTGGAGATTTTATTTCTGTCTATCAATTCATACATTTTTCATTTTAATTGTTGCAGCATCCAATATCTTCAACTCTTTTAAAAGATGAATTGTGTTGTTAAAAATGTAATCATTTTCTTTAACAGCTGGTTAACTGAGTGTTTTTCTAATAGTAACTTTACCATGGCTGGCGGCGCTGATGCCCAGGTGGGTGAGGTTGGTGGTCAGGCTGCCCGTGCTGGTGGAGGCGCTGAGGGAGGGGAAGGCCACGGTGTCCTCTGGGTCCAGCGGGGTGGACAGTGGGGGGGGGAACTGGATGTTGGTCAGGTCAGGCAGCGAGCCCCCGGTGTTGTGTGCAGCAGGGAGCAAGGACAGGTTCAACTCCTGGTCGGGTGATGGGAATATACTAAAAGACAAGAAGTGCTGTCAGACAGGAGAAGAGCTGCTCTCATATTGAACTACTTTGGAATTTTTTTTACATGATTAGCACCCTTTGGGTTTCTACAGGGATGTTTATCAAATTGTGTTTAATTGGATCCTCATCGCACACATACAAGACAAGCACTGGACAATGCAGATACTTATACCAGTGTCCACGACTCATTGCAAATAAACAAATCAAGAGTGTCAAGAGTACATATTACCAGTATTAGCCAATCCAGACTCAGACTAACCGCCCACAAAAGCCATCAACATAATCAACGTCACGTCTGTATTTTGGTCAAAGCTTAGCCAAACTAGATTGTACATTTCTTCAACACCTCTATTTAAAAGATGCTGTTTCACTGAATGTTTCATCCAACCTTACTGTTCTTCTGTGATTTGTATGGGGAGTCAATTCCATTCATAACTCAGTACCATTGGTTTGATGTGCATCTCATGTACAATTGTAAATTAGAAGGCCTATCTTGAATGAAAGATACTTTATTATGCAGGATAAAAGGAGTCTTTGTAAGAGAGATAGTTCTGATAAACACAAATGGTTGATCGGTTTGTTACTACCATAATAAGTAGTTCCTACAGTTCCAGCGACATGTTAATGTTTCCAGCATCTTTCCACTGTACCTCAACCAGCTGTCTTGTATCAGTGCACTTACAGCATGACTTATTTATAGCAGTGTGACTGACGGGTCACAGTTTGACTGGAAAGATAATAAAACAATAGACCACTCACTTGATTCCTGGGACATCACATGTGTTTGATGAATCATCCTGAGGAGAGAACATAATAATGAGCCGTAAATCTGACGTGGTTCACATAAAAAGTGTCCATCTGGTTAGCCCTTCCTTTTCCCGTCAGTACCTTCTTGTCATCCCACAACTGTTGCTGCGCATCCTCGTTTGACTCAGAGTTCTCGGTCCCAGGCACTGTTAGCAGCAGTACTAATAAGGGAAACAGCAAGACACAGGCTTTGCTTTGAAAGAAATACATGACAATACAAATCAGGGCAAGAAATGAGTCATCAATATCTGAGCCAGTCAGGCAGAATAAAGCTGTGCACTAGATTTCTGAGCGTCTAAAAATAGCAAGGTGACCACCAGACAGACCGAGTGGATGCCAGCCAATCTTGGCTTCATTATACGAGAGCCTCACACATAAAAATACATAATCCATGGATAATCAGTGAATTATTGATCCTCCCCTGTAGCTCACACTGAGTCAGCTCCATTCAGAGATGTTACTTCTCTGCAGAGTACTATAGCAGCTTGCTGAAGCACTTCTTTGCCTTGGATCAGTATACATTTACTCCATACATATTTCATCAAGAGTCTAGATCTACATCAACCCTTTTATGTCATTTAAAGTTTGCAGCCTGCATTAGTACACTGCACATTAATAAATGAGTGCGGCTCTGTGCCTCCATTTCCATTACCTCGTTTAGGCTGCAGCTCCTGTGATCCCCCGGCAAACACCTCCTGGGGTTTGGGATTCATGGCGCTCTGGTGTAAGGCTGAGTCTGAATTTGTCCTGTATTTGTGAGAAAGATTAGATGTCAGCTAAATCCCAGCTAAATCCCCTAACCTGGCAGACAGCCAATTCTTCAGCTTCCCATCCAGGAAGACCCACATTCTGTTACAGACCTTTACATGCCTTCAAACAGCTAAATGTGCCCTTTGTGTTGGGCTACTTTTAAAATGTTGTACAAACATGGATGCACAAAATCATGTGCTTTAACGTTCTAATTGAGCTGTGTTGTTGTGTATCTTAGTTCAAATGTGGGCATATGGACAAGGGGAGTTAGCTTACCTTCTCCAGCTAGTGTCTGGCGGTGGGGAGAGGTAAACTGAGCTGTAAGGACAGCTGTCGATGTGAATTTCGTTAAGGCGAATAAAGTAGAAGGGATGAAAAATGGATCGGAGCTAATCCACACTTTCATGTCTGCTGGCTGATTCAACCTGATACATAATAACTAACCACACTCACAAGTGTTGTAAGGATTCAATTACTTCAGTCAGGCTTCAGTCAGTGTCTTGTTATCCAATATATGTCAAAAAAAGTCTGAGTCTAACAAAACACAGTATCGCATTGTATTGTTTCATGTAAGGCTCAAATATGTGGAACGAGGCAGAGCTACATTCAATTATTTATTCTGTTCCTATCTGTCTCAGATGTTATTGGTTTTATTTATTTAAAACACATTTGGGAAATGACTTGATTTAGTTTAACGTTGCGATTAAGTGTGATGCTTTCCATTTACAGACTATGTTTTAACAGGTGAAAGTGTAAGTGTTTCCTGGAAAGCTTGGCGGTTTGTTACTGACTGAAGATCAAGCATGTAAAGAACAGCCTGTATATCACTGTATGAAACATACATGAAAATCCACAGCTGTAGGAGCCTCTGATATCATTTAGATATAAACACAAAAGTTAGACTAACTACAAGTAAAGTCATATTTCTGGTTTTGAGCTTTTTCGATACTAAGAAGATGATAGCACCACTAGACAAGGACATTATAAAAAACCTGTTCAAACCTTCCTAAAATATTATGTTCCTCTTAACATGCTGACTTAAATGACACAGTTAACTAGAGAGGCAAACTTTCGGTAGCCGACTTAGAAGCATCAAACAAAAATGAATGTTAGTAAAACAACACCAAAATGCTTCCAAGAACAAAAAAAGGATATTTGGCGTCCATGTTTGTCGACTGACAGCGGCCGGCGGTGAGGAGACGTGATGCGGTTGCGGTCACGGTAAACGCGCTCCACCAGCCCGTGGTGTCTAGTAGTCCGACTGGTGTCCAGCACAGAGTTCTAGATTTGAACACAGCAGGTGAATGAGGCCAGCAAAACAGCTTTCTCGTAGGACAGAACTATTTTAGGATAGATGTTTTAGGATAAATGTCTTAGGATTAATGGTGCAAATGTGTTCATTTCAAAAATGAGTCAAGCCATGGGCCCCCCCATACTGATGCTCGAGTTGGCAAATGTATTTAAAGATGGAAAGCCATGACAAGCAATGATATACTTTAAAATTTAGGAACCAAATTACATTGCAGGGTAAAACTACACACTTCTTTGCACTCCTGGACCATGATAACAACCTGGTAGGACTATGCAGCCGTTCAAGACTCAGCTACACCTGCAGACTTCTCTGTTTTTGAGCCAAAACAAACAGATAACTGCAACCTTTGTTTTAGTTCATTATCACCAACAGCTTAGCAAGGTACACTGATTGAGAACAAACCATTGATTTACCAGCCGAGAGAGGCTAAGGGCTCACCTGAAAAGGCAGGTCAATGTTGCCATTTCCAATCTGATTGACATTGGGCAGTGAGCCTCCATAGTACTGTCCACGATTCTGCCCTAGTTGCAAATACTGGGTCTTCTGTAACTGCAACTGTGCAAAGTAAAATTGCATGAAAGCATGAGTGAATGATTGATCTGATTTACAAATAAAGTGATGCTAAAAATGAATGACACCTGCCAGTCCACAGGGGTGAAATGGAAGATAGATTGACAGATGAAAAATGATGAGACAGGCAAATTGGCTTTTTCAAGAACAACCAGCAGACATCTTTTATAGCAAAACAAAAAACAGAATCACATCACCTGATGTGACTGACACCTGACTGACAGCTGGTGTGATTTCAGTCCTTCAATGTAACACACCTGGTGATAACATTAGCCATGTGTCTTAACACAAAACCAGTCACAAAAGTAATGCATGGTATTACAAAAACAGTGATGGAAGTGCTCCGTTACTTATAATGAGTATGTAAGTCGCTTTGGATAAAAGCGTCTAACAAGTAACATGTAATAATGAAGTTGATAATGATCTGAACAAATACAATGGATTGATGTTGAGATGGCAACACAAAGAAATCGGGCAGAGACGATCAGCTGACTTTAATTTAGTTTTTTCCCTGCAATAAATGACAGTACAGCTCAGATATATAATAATTAGCCCAAACACTTCCTGGCAACAAGATGTCACTACTACTGTGGCTGAAACAATGTGTTTATTACTTGATTATCAGTTGATTAAATGTCAACAACTTTGATTATTGATCATTTTGGTAATTTTCCTGAAATAATACAATAATATTAAAGTGTCACCATAATGTTAATGCCCGGCGGAGCTTTTCGGGCATTCCTGTGGAGGTTGGGGACATTGAACCAGAGTGGTCGGTGTTCAAAGCCTCTATTGCCGAAGCCGCGGCGGGGAGCTGTGGTCTCATGGTCCTAGGTGCCTCAAGGGGCGGTAACCCTCGAACCTCCTGGTGGACACCGGTGGTCAGGGAAGCCGTCCGACTGAAGAAGGAGGCCTTCAGGGATTTGTTATCCCGGGGGACTCCCGAGGCAGTTGCAAGGTACCGACAGGCCCGAAGGGCAGCAGCCTCATCCGTGGCCGAGGCAAAGCAGCGGGTGTGGGAGAAGTTCGGAGAAGACATGGAGAAGGACTTTCGGGCGGCACCAAAGTTGTTCTGGAAAACTGTCCGATACCTCAGGAGGGGGAAGCAGGGAACCATCCAAGCTATGTACAGTAAGGATGGGACGTTGTTGACCTCAACTGATGGAGTGTTAGGGCGTTGGAAGGAACACTTTGAGGAACTCCTGAACCCGACAACTCCGCCCTCTATGTTAGAGGCAGAGCTGGAGTATGACGGGGGATCAACACCAATCTCCCGGGGGGAGGTCACTGAGGTCGTCAAACAACTCCACAGTGGCAAAGCCCCGGGGGTGGATGAGATCCGCCCAGAAATGCTGAAGGCTCTGGGTGTTGAGGGACTGTCATGGTTGACACGTCTCATCAACGTTGCGTGGAAGTCGGAAACAGTACTGAAGGAGTGGCAGACCGGGGTGGTGGTTCCCCTTTTTAAAAAGGGGGATCAGAGGGTGTGTGCCAATTACAGAGGCATCACACTACTCAGCCTCCCCGGGAAAGTTTACTCTAAGGTACTCGAAAGGAGGGTCAGGCCGATTGTCGAACCTCAGATTGAGGAGGAACAATGCGGATTCCGTCCTGGTCGTGGTACGACGGATCAGCTTTTTACTCTCGCAAGGATCCTGGAGGGGGCCTGGGAGTACGCTTATCCGGTCTACATGTGTTTTGTAGACTTGGAGAAGGCCTATGACCGAGTTCCCAGGGAGTTACTGTGGGAGGTGCTGCGGGAGTATGGGGTGAGGGGGTCTCTACTCAGGGCCATCCAATCTCTGTACTCCCAAAGCGAGAGCTGTGTCCGGGTCCTCGGCAGTAAGTCGGACCCATTTCCGGTGAGGGTTGGCCTCCGCCAGGGCTGCGCTTTGTCACCAATCCTGTTTGTAATATACATGGATCGGATTTCGAGGCGTAGTCATGGGGGAGGGGGTCTGCAGTTCGGTGGACTAAGGATTGCACCACTGCTTTTTGCAGATGTGGTTCTAATGGCTTCATCGGTCTGCGACCTTCAGCACTCACTGGATCGGTTCACAACCGAGTGTGAAGCGGCTGGGATGAGGATCAGCACCTCCAAATCTGAGGCCATGGTTCTCAGCAGGAAACCGATGGACTGTCCACTTCAAGTAGGGAATGAGTCCTTACCCCAAGTGAAGGAGTTCAAGTATCTCGGGGTCTTGTTCTCGAGTGAGGGAACAATGGAGCGTGAGATGGGCCGGAGAATCGGAGCAGCATTTTCGTTCCTACCCTCACCTATGGTCATGAAGGATGGGTCATGACCGAAAGAACGAGATCGCGGATACAAGCGGCCGAGATGGGTTTTCTCCGCAGGGTGGCTGGTGTCTCCCTTAGGGATAAGGTGAGAAGTTCGGTCATCAGGGAGGGACTCGGAGTTGAGCCGCTCCTCCTTCGCGTCGAAAGGAGCCAGTTGAGGTGGTTCGTGCACCTAGTTAGGATGCCACCTGGGCGCCTCCCTAGGGAGGTGTTCCAGGCACGTCCAGCTGGGAAGAGACCAAGGGGTAGACCTAGGACCAGGTGGAGGGATTATATCTCTTCGCTGGCCTGGGAGCGCCTTGGGATCCCCCAGTCAGAGCTGGTTGATGTCGCCAGGGAAAAGAAAGTTTGGGGCTCTCTGCTGGAACTGCTACCCCCGCGACCCGACCACGGATAAGCGGGAGAAGATGGATGGATGGATAATGTTAAATAAGGTTTACATTACTTTCTTATTTTCACAATAATCTAAGGCTTTCATTTAATTATTTTCACCATCAATTCATCAATTATTTATTCTATAAAAGGTCAGAGGGATGGTACAAAATTCAAAAATATTAGCGTTATCATATACAGAGAATGGCAGCAAATCATCGCAGGAACCCAAACATTTGGCATTATTGCTTTAAACACATTATTCTATAAATACTTTATTTTCTAATTCATTTATTTCACATCAATGGCTGAACAAAATCAGTCATTTCCAAGTTACAACTTCAACGAATAAGGAAACTATTTACTGTTGACAGGAAAAAGTAGCTTCCCATATTGCTCCTCATCCTTCAAGAAAACTGAAATATGTTTTAATTGATTTTTTTTGTTAACATAATTATACTTTTCTTGGATTAAAAAAGAAAAAAGGAACACCACATTTTCCTTAATAACGCTAAGTCTTGACAAAGATGTACTCAATAATACATACTGGTAAGCGATGGTTAACAGCAAATAAACAAAATCACATCTGGAGAAGCTGGTTAAAACATCTGGCTGGCCAGCAAATGATAACTTAGACCTCTGAGTGATATTGCTTCATATGTTGTCTAGCAGTTGACTTTCCGAACATGTTGTTATACAATTATTTAAATGTCGGTGATTTGTTTGCTAACAAAAAGGACACCAGTGACTAGTCAATCCAGCACAGGTGCACATTATTATTCACAGCTCCAGCACGCTAGCTAAGCTAACGCTGCACACGAGTAGCTGGTTATATCGGAAAAACGCTGGCAGGATTTAAAGCTGAACAGGCACGGTGAAAGCATTATTTGATTGTGGTGAACTGACATTGATATTAGAGGATGTTAATGTGTCAACTTTAGCATCCCAGCGTTCAGGTTTATCTCCGCAGCGCTCGACAGCTGCCAAACAGCGATGCAACAAAACATAAACAGCCGGGGTGTGCAGCTCTTACCCGAGCAGCTCTGGTGATGTTCAGCTCTTTCATCACTTCTTCAAACGCAGCAGTTTCCTCCGCCTGTTTCTGATTATGTAAAGCGATTTTTTCGCTAAATTTGCGAGGATTGTTAGAGGACGCCATCTTTCCCCTCTTCTTCTCAATGGAATGTTACGTTACGCACCACGCTAGGGCCTTCTGGTGTCGTCATCACGCACGGTCAGCGTAGTGTGTTGATGTTCTTCGCCTTTTGCACCTGCTGTTGACTTGACAGTAGACAGCATGAGGAAAAGTGTATTGTGGATATAGTTCAAAACAAAGTAGGCCTATACATAGGCTATATTACAATTTAAAAAGTGGAAATGTGAAAAAAGGATGCATTGAGTAATACATCTGGAATTAAATTACAAGCAGTGTACACTGCAAAGGTGTATATTATATACTTTATTGAACACACAATAAAGAACATAGGCCTACAAGATATCGTCGAAAGAACATACATATAATACTGTATATTACCATATAAATAATATAAAATTAAATGAAAAAATAAATCCCATAAGAATTACAATCCTTAAATAGGTTTAGGTATTCATAAAGCCACGCCTTTCCTGAGCAAATCATTGCAAATTCCCTCAAGTATCTTACTGTCTGTTTATAAAGCTTAGGCAAATTAATGCATTTGCATTTTAGAAGTTAAGACGTGTATCGGACACACTTTTCAGATAATAAAATAGACGCAGGTTTCAATTAATAATATTAATAATTAAATCTATTTAGAGGCGCCGTTCAAAGCACCCAAGGGCACCATTCACCATACAATTCATAACATATTCAAAGGAAAGGTTTAAGACAGTACAAAAGGACGTGGGCTGTGTGTTTTAATAAACCGGTTCTTATTGACAGAGTTCTGAAGAAAAAATGGGTAGTCCATCACTATTAAGGCCCTGATTTACCTCAGGCATGTGGCTCTCACATCTCTTGTAATGAAAGCTATGGAGAGGGTCATCAAAAACCATTACATCCAGGCAACCAACTAAAAAAAATACCCACTTTGGTTTCCATATTGCGCAGGCAGAGGGGTTACTGTGTAGACTGCATTATTATAATTGTATCACACTAAGATCAACAATCGCATATCATTATATTCATTAATGTGAAGTTTTTTGTGCAGTAATATTAGCATTTCACATCGATATTATCTTACCATGAGGGTATTTTTCACACTAAATCATCATTCCATATTTTTATCATAATGTGTATAGATCCATGCTTTTTTAATGAAGTAATATCTTATATTTCATAGTGTTGCTGTATAATTCTACGAGCCTCTTCAAATTGCTCCCAAGACAAAACAAGAGTCTCAATTGAGAGGGTTTCACACTTTTCTCTGTTTAATATCTCTGTAAATTGAATATATTTTGGTTTTAAACTGTTGGTTGGACACAAATAAAGTTAAGACATTTATAGATAAATCAATATAGAAAATAGAAGAAAATAATCTGAAAATTACTCGTTAAAAAACATAAATGTTGGTTTATTTGTATACGTTTCATCTTAAAAAGCTCCATACAATTTTTCTTAAATGTCTGTGGGGGTTTGTGGATATAAACAGCTCAAACTTTCATACTGTAATGTATCGTGCCTTAATTGAGTTGTTGTGAAAATAAGGACAGAAAAAGCACCTGGAAGTTATTTTTAAAACATGATACACCTTTAATAGGATGCACATAAAACCTCACAAATGTCTACATTCCCCTTCGACAAAGAGTGGCTTCCTTTATATTGCACTTCAATAATATCATGTGCTTTTACTGGTACACATAAAACAAGACTAATACACTAAGGCAACAGGAGAAACATGTATGGACATCATTGTGTAGATGATCACATTTAAAAAGAACAACATGTCTTCCTTAAACATATAACGTATATTAATAAATTCAGCGGCAGAATCAGATGCCTGACAAATACTGAAAAGTGCAGCAATGCAGTAAAAATAAAAACCCAAGCCGGTATCAAACACAGCAAAAAGATTGTTTAAATGATTTTTGAGAGTAGTTTTGATGTTAAATCTGTATAAATAAATGGCACTATATTGTGTAAGTCAAGGGACAAAACCAATATGCAACACTTGTTTAACATAAAGAGCAGCACACACTGACATTAAAAACACATGAATGATTCATGTAGCTGCCTTAAGAGGTCCAAACTGGCTTCTTATGTGACTGAGAGAACAACTACTGTCAGGTTTCAGCTCAGGATACTCAGGGTAGCTAAAGAAAAACAACATTAACACCACATTTAATATGAGATATCAACATAAAACACAAAAACTACCCGTGTTCATTTGTGCAATCATTACTGTCCGTTGTGGTTTGTTGACAAGTACATTTGAGGAGACAAACAACACTGAGACTCGGTCAAAAAAGGATAATCTTAATAAAACATTTAAAACTATACAATCAAAATGTCTAACAATATAAGGTTCAGTCTGTTGATACCTTTGTAAACACACAATCTAACTATAGGTTACTAACGTAACCCCAGTTCTCAGAGTAACATGAAGTAAGATGTCTCACTATGGGATACGCCTCCCCGCGAATGCCTCAGAAGCATCAATCTCATTACGCCAATCCTGATTGGCTGGTGATCTTGACGACCAGTCAGGGAATCCGACCACCCTTTAAGTAGCTTGCACTACGACGCAGCGTCATTCAAAATAAGCACCTCTTCTCGCTTCGCCTCAGCAAGAAGGGCTGTCTGGTGAGACATCTCACTTCATGTTACTCTGAGAACTGGGGTTACGTTAGTAACCTATAGTTCTCATTCATAACACTCCGTTCGATGTCTCACTATGGGATATTGAGACTCCCGTATTGCTAGACATGCTTATCTCGAAAATCACCAAAAATCAGTACTCAACAGGTAGAACTCTGTCCCAACACGGGGCCCAGCACTGCATGGGCCACACTTGGAGCAGAGACATCCAATCTGTAAAAACGGACAAAAGTGAGCGGTGAAGACCAGCTCGCTGCTGCACAAATGTCCTGGATGGTAACACCCTTGAACAAAGCCCAGGACGTAGCCAGGCCACGAGTAGAATGAGCACGCAGGCCCGTTGGTGCCTGCAAACTAGTGTTAATTTCGTTGACTAAATCTATGACGAAATATGTTCGTCAACGACCTTTTTTTCCATGACGAAAACGAGACGATGACGAGACGGCATTAAACAATAACTGTAACGAAATCATCATGCAATATCGTTGACGAAAAGTGACGAGACGAAAATGTAGTTCACTAAATAAAAACTATGCCAAAATCTCTCTTTACTTTCGTTGACGAAAAATGAGGAGACGAAATATTATCAAAGATAACGTTACATCTCTGATAGTCAGTTTTTCTCCCAGAAGTTCCATTTCCGGGGCTGCGGCAGGGCAGCAGCTGTGTGTCTGCGGTGCGCGCGGCGGTAGATTTGAATTACACCGGGCAGCGGCACAATATGAACTGTCAGGAAGACTCGGGTCTAACTCATGGTCTAACTAACCTTATTTAACAGAAAATGAAATGGCAACAGGGCTTGGGAGCAGTGGTCGCACTCGCGTTAACCGAATACCACCCCCCCCCCCCGTCAGCGCGAGTGATTGATAAATTGTGCACTCGACGGATAATAATGGATTATGACGGAAATGTTACGATCCGTCAAAATGACTGACAACGAAAAAGTCTAAAGCCACCACTGCTTGGGAGAAAGAAACGATGTGATATTTGGGCCCATTTTCGCTACAATGAGGCGGAGAAAAAAAGCGAATGCATTGTTTTATCAGAAGGGAAGCAATGTGGCCATAACACAGCTGGTAAAAACACCACAAACCTGAGCAGATACTCTCTGCAAAGCTGCATTCTTAATCATTCAACCTGTGTTTTTCATCAAATAAGGACAAGATATAATCTTATTTATTTATATATACTAAAATGACAAATTATTGGTTTTGGCTAGACTAGTTTGACTGAAATGTTCTATATAATCTGATGACTAAAAAAGCCTCAACAGTTTTTATTGACAAAAATAATTAGTTTTCTTTGACTAAAATATGACTAAAATGCTCAGACTTTTAGTCGACTAAATCTTGACTAAAATGTTTACTGTTTTAGTCGACTAAAATAAGACTAAAATGCTCAGACTTTTAGTCGACTAAAACTTGACTAAATAAAAACAGGATGAAGGTGACTAAATATAACTAAAACTAAAAAGGAAATTTAACACAGGACTAAGACTAAAACGAAATTAAAAAATAGCTGACGAAATTAACACTACTGCAAACCCTGACTCGTATAAGCCAGAGCTATCGCTTCCACAATCCAGTGGGAGAGTCGTTGCCTGGTAACGGGCTTGCCCTTATGAGGGCTAGCCCAGGATACAAAGAGTTGGTCATTGCATCGAAACTCTTTAGACCTGTCCATATAGGTGCGCAAGGCACGAACTAGGCACAGCAAATTCGGCCGCTGTTCTCTAGAAGAACACAACGGTGAAGGAAATGCCGCAAGGTCAATGGGGGTGCATGAGCCAACCACCTTGGGCACAAAAGCAGGGTTGGGCTTCAGCAACACTCTTGTTTGTCCCGGGGCAAACTGAGTGCATGAAGGGTGTACAGAGAGCTCATGAATGTCATTGACTCGCTTGGCAGATGCCAGAGCCAGCAACAACACTGTCTTCAGTGACAGGTGTTTCATGTCAACTTCTTCCAGGGGTTCAAATGGAGGTCGAGTGAGCCCATCTAAAACCACTGCCAAGTCCCATAAGGGCACCAGTGACCTGGAAACAGGGAGGAGCCTGCGAGCCCCTTTCATAAAACGGCAGACCAAGGGATGTTGGTTAGCCGTCTTTCCCTCAAAACCCACGTGGCATGCAGCAATAGCAGCCAGGTACACTTTAATCGTAGAGAAAGCTCTGTGTTTATCAATCAAGTCCTGTAGAAATGACAAAATCACACCGACAGGACATTGAAAAGAGACATGTCCCTTTTGGAGGCACCACTCCTCAAACATCAAGAGACCTGGTGGAGGAAGCCCTTGCACTCTGAATAGTGTTTATCACCTTCTGAGGAAGCCCCACTGTACTCAAATTATACCACTCATGGGCCAGGCCCATAGTGGTATATCATCCTCGTCTTCGTCTGAGTCGGATAAGAGAAACTCAGAGGCACCCTCTTCGTCTTCCTCTATATAATCCAACTCCAGGACATCCTCTGCGAGTGGAACCACGGTGAGATCCAGCTGGGAGCCCCAGCTAGCCTCAGCGCAAGGCTCAGCCTCCGCGGCGGCTACCTCCATGTCTCGGTTGCCGGACGGCACATCGCCAGACATGAAAGGATCTCCTCCCGACAGGCTAGCTTGGCGCGCTAGCCGTCGGCGGAGGCTCTTGATGGTGAAGCGGGCACAGTGTCTGCACGAACCGGGGGCGTCGATAGCCTTCCGGGCATGTTCCAGCCCAAGGCAGGACGAGCAGACCTGGTGTGAGTCCGTGCTCGATATTTAATACCCGCAGCCGCAAAGTCGAGCCTCAGTCTCCTCTGGTGTGAGGAAGAGAAGGGTCCATCCTGGATATCCGGAGTGCCGACTTGGAGGGACGGAACAACAACAGGTATGTTACGGTTCAATATATCAAAAACCCTTACCGTTAAAAACCGGCGGGGCAGAATCGAGTATTAACTGGTGTGTTAATATTCTAATCTGCGAAGCAACAATAACTGGTATGTTACTGTTCAATAATCAAAAACCTTACCGTTGAAAAAACGGCGGGGCAGAATTGAGTATTAACTGGTGTGTTAATATTCTAATCTTATGCGAAGCAAGTGTAGCCGGCAAGCGTCCGGCGACCGAAAGTTAGCTTAGAGTGGTTCAGTCTATGAACAGTTAAGCTAGCCAGGCTACTACAAATGTAGAGATGTGCTCCGAAGCGAGAAGAGGTGTTTGAATGACGCTGTGTCGTAGCGCAAGCTACTTAAAGGGTGGTCGGATTCCCTGACGTGGTCGTCAAGATCACCAGCCAATCAGGATTGGCGTAATGAGATTTATGCTTCTGAGGCATTCGCGGGGAGGCGTATCCCATAGTGAGACATCGAACGGAGTGTTATGAATGAGATCTCAAGACTTCCATTCAAAATGTTAGACAATTTGTGCTCTATGTAACTTTAGCCCTTCATTGGTAAAACTATAATATTTTAGTAAGTAATTTTTTTTATTTAGGTAATGCTACTCCAGAAGATAAATTATATCTTTACCATTAATAAGAGAAATAATTTCAAAGAAATTAAATATAAATAGGAAACGTCTCATTAGCTTTTTATATGCTGTTCCCATAGGCTGTTCCCCAGTAACGCATACAACGTTTCTTTCAAATGGTCCTTTGAAAGCCTGTATCACAATCATAAGTGTATTAAGATCCTGACGTCTTTTACATAAAAGTAATTTCAAATCAAATTGTGCTCTAAAAAGGTTTGTTTGATCGATTAAACATTTCTTGATCAAAACAAGGACACATGATAATATACCAAATGAGTAATGCTGCTTAGTAGCTTTTTGGGCCATTCCATTAAATGACTGAACAACACACAAACGCACACCACCTGTTGCTCACATAATGTTCACTCCTTGCGTCAGTGGTCGGCAGTAAAGATCACATATAGTAAAGTCTTCACAGTCACAGGTCGGTTGGTTAGCGTTGTGTGGTGTTTTGTGGAATAATAATTGGTGTGCTAGCGATGCCAGCAAAGGATTCTGGGAAGTGCAAATCCCTCTCCCACTCGTCTGTCTCTGTGTTGAACACCTGCACGATGCTTGTGACATTGTTCAGGTGCCAGTTGTAGCCCCCGACGATGTAGATCTTCCTGTCCAGTAAGCAGCAGCCAGCCTCGGACTGTCCTGCTCTCATGGGGCTGACGGTGGTCCACTGGTCGCTCTCTGGAATGTAATACTCCACCGCAAGCACGTCAAAACAACGGTCCACGTGATCCATGCGGCCGCCCAGAGCATAAACCCGATCCCTGGTGCTGATCATGGCATGCAACACTCTGGGTTCAATCATGGGGGCCCTGAAGTCCCACTGGTCTGAGGCTGGGTTGTAGCAGTGAAGAGTTTTCTTATCCTCCAACGACACGCCATAACCCCCCGAGATGTACAGCCTCTCCCCGCAGGGAGTCCCTGCATGACCCCAAATCCTGCGCCTCAATGGTTCCACATTAGTCCACTCGTTCTTCTTTGGGCAGTAACACTCTACAGATGACAGACTACCAGATCGATTGCGCCCTCCGGTGGCATACAGCTGTCCACGCAGCACGTTTAGCTGAAACTGGATACGAGCCTCATGCAAAGGTTGGATGCGCAGCCACTGGTTGAGGTGCGGGTCGTAACGGAAACAGCTGTCTACCGCCCCCTCGCCGCTCCGGTACTGTAAGTGCTGTCCACCAACGACGTACACAAAGTTATCAAGTACGGCAACACAGGCGTGGCTGCACCCTGTGTCCATCTCTGTCAGCTCTTTGAATTGACGAGAAGCCATGTCAGGGAGATGGTACACCTTGTTGCTCACCGTGCGGTCGTTGTCAGTGTACGGCGTCCCTCCAAAGGTGATGACTGACAAGACTTCAGAACGTATGTGTGTCCGCGAAGACTGCATCTCATGCTGTCTGAAGGGAAGAATCTGGTAGTTGAAGGCCTCGAGGAGATACTGGCGGCAGAGCACGTCCTCCACCATGATGTCCACCGTCTGAACGTTGTCCACCAGCTCAGAGGAGCGCATGAGGGGAAAGCGCACGTGGCAGAGGACGCTGCTGGCTTGAGCCCGGCGAGACTCGTCATACTGGAGCCACCTGATGGTGGCATGGAAGAGGTCGATCTCTCTACAGTTCTTCAGTTTGTTGCTCTGCAGGAAGAAGACTAGGCGCTCCATGGGAATGTGCAGGAAGTCATCCTCCTCCGCAATCTGAAGGAAGTGGCGGAAGGTGAAGGAATCCACCGACTCTTTGAGGGAAGACAGGCTGAAGGTGGTGGCCATCTGGCCGATGTGAAGGCAGGTCTCCACGCTCATCGCTGATTTGAGGAACTCTTCGCAGAGCTCCACGACTGGAACCATCTGAAGGAAAGCGGCTGCCCCGAGGACATCTTGAATACAGTCCAGGTCTAAAGTGACTTCTGAACTGTAGGCAAAGTCAATGATATGTTTCAGTCCGCGGGCGGACAGGCCCTTCAGCTCAATGGTATCTTGATTTGCCTCCCTCATGCCTCCAGTAAACATTGCTCTGTAACAAAAGAACAAGTCAATGAGCTAGATCACATTTTTACAAATCTATGTCTTCTAAATTCAAGATTTGAATATTGTATGACATTTCAAGATTTAGTTAGAGCACTTGTATGACATGAAATGTCATCCTCAGAAAATGGGAAAAAGAAGAGCTAGAACAGTAGAAAAAAACAACACTCACGCTTCACCTATATCCTCACAATGTACCTGGTCTAATATCACAACATCTATACTACATTCATATATAATCACAACCTAGTTCAGATTAAAGATAAAATGAAAGAAAAACAAGTGAGCGCATCCTTTAGTGCTTGTTGTGAATTTCACATTTTTCCACTCTTTACCTTTATCCCCGAACTGAATTGCTCTTAATGTCCTATTTTATCTGCAGCTCACTCAGAGCACTCTGGATAAGAGCATCAGCTAAGTGCTTCCAAATAAAAAATGGACAGTGAGAAGTCTTGGGATTCATACTAACCTGAAGTAATCACTACAGGAGGCCAGCACAGCTTTGTGGACCTGGAAGCGCTCCTCATTGATGGCCAGCACAACGTCAAGTAGTTGGCCCCGAGAACGCAAGACGGACAAGCCCTGGAGGAGGCTGGCACTGTGGCTCGGTGCAGAGAATGTACAGCGCAGGGTGCTATTCTTGTTAGCCATACTGGAAAGAAAAAAATGGTACGGTCACAATGAATAGATCAAGGGATCCTATATATAAAACCCTCCTATAGTTTTAACTTGAACTTGTGGACACTTTCTTCATTTTTCACTATAAGGAAAGAGCTAGATGCTCTGATCTTCTGGTTGAGCAGGATGTATAGCTCAAGAAAATATAAATATGATCCGTATGAGGATATCTAATGTCTGGTGTTAATTCAAGGTGTAGCTGCACACAGCAATACAGTGATGGACATTTTATCTAATATGCCACTGAGCCAAGAGGAAATGCAATCTGTGGTGTACAGTGTCTTTGCATTAGTGAGAGCAAATCTGCACACAGGAGAGAAACAACATTATAGAAATGTCATGTCTAGACTACCCGCTGTTGCTGCTGCTGCACAGAAAATGTAAACCATCAGTAAGAAGCATGATCACGGTGTTGGAAACATCCCTGCTACAGGTAAGCAATAACAAAGGTCAGTGTGCGGTAGAAAATCTAACTTGTTTGTTTACATCACTGGGGACAGACATGTCAAAAGACATAAAAGATACAAATATATTTGAAGACTAAAAAGGTACAAACTTTACCTGAGATTTAAGCTTACTGGCATAATTTCAAATATGAAACATTTGAACAAACACCACATGTAGAAAAACGATATCAGATATTTGTACTGACAGCTAATATTATTTGGCACTTTCCTAATGTACATGCTTTGTTAAATGAGAACCAAAATTGCATCCAATCAAATAAAAGGCAGATTACAAATGACAGAAATCCCATTTCTGTCATTTGTAATCCCATTGTTCGAATCCTTCACTTTTGTATTCCGATTAGAATATAATACCGAGCAGAAATCAGGTCATGAAATATTTAATGAAAATAAAGCTCTGGAACATTTAGGCTTGTGTATACATGGCTGAAACAATACAATATTAAAAAACACACATTTTCATTGTTATGGATGTAAGATGATTACTTACAAATACTTACAAAATGACTTTCTTGCCCCTCATATTTTTTTATCTGATCAAATCAAATCAGTATTGTCATTACATGAGGAATATGCCCAAATATAAGATTACAATTTTCACATTAGGGCTAAAACAACAGTTTGTCTATAAAGCCCTACAAGTGTGAAGTATTCCACTTCTTTCATTTGTTGAGTACGGGAGTCATTTTGAAAACACTGGGGTTACTAAACCATCATTTATCAAAGTATTCACACCTGTGGGTTTTTCCACAGTGACGCATCAACATGAGAAAACGGCCAAATAATTTATCCAAAAATGTACAGTTTTCACAACCCATGTTGAACTATCAGCCTTTATTGAAACCAATAGACATGACTGACATCAGTCAATGTGTTTTATGAGATTATATTCAAAACAGAATTAAAACAAGTCAACAAACTTTCACTTTTACCATTTATGTTCACAATTTGCAACTTTATTTAGTCGAGTTTCCAGTGAAAGCTTTGTAGTGTAACAATGTTGCTACGCCTAACTTTTTTTGTTAAAATTTGCTGTATATTTTACGCAATTTTATCATAATAGTGACACTATTATGAATTGTGCCTTGATCTTTTCAGGCAATATTCTTCTTGTTACAGTCATGCAAATAAAGCATAGGCGTTATTAACATTTCAAAGTATTGAAAGTAGTAAAGGAGGAATGCTTTACCAAACGTCAACAGTGTGTTGAAGTTAATCTGCTACAAACAACAGGCTCACTTCGGTGTGTTTACTCCACTGAATGGGAATTGTCACACCCTTACTTTATTTCCACTGCTGGGCACCCCTATAGCAGTCAGTGTGGACGCCTGGAGGCCAGCTCAGCTCCTCGGTGTTTCCCGGAGTCAAGCAGTGACGCTGACACGCTTCAGCGGGTCTCGATAGGGCTGCAGCCACGGAGCCTTCGCACAAAGTAACACCGAGGGACCAAAACAAAACCGCGGACACAGCACATCCTCACCCGGCTTCACTCACCTGCTCTGTGGGTGTTTCGAAGCACAGTCCCCGCCATCCGACTCCGCCATCTTCTAGCACTAAGCAACACGCATGGAGCATTTTCAGTAATGTTACCAGAAGGTCAAAGGCACGAATGGCCTATTCATGCCGTTTAAAAAAGTATAGACACAGCCCGTTATGCAGGCACGGGGGGAAACAGCATTGTCTCCGATGGGAACACGGTGCTGACCTCTCCCACCGGCGGTCTGCTGCACCTCCTTCCTCTGTACCGACAGCCTCTTGCCGCTGGGAGGCTCCACTGTCATACTGAATGTGAGACAACTTTATAGAAATTCATATCACATATGTTACTGATGCCATTTGTCATACTTTGTTAAACTCATAAATAATAAAGTTCCATAACTTCAGTTGAGAACAAAGACCACACCTTATCTCCCCAAGGCAATTTCCCATCCAATAGGTGTGCTATATAGGTGTGTATAACCCTTTCTCCTGTCTGTTTATCCCTCTTTCAGCATAAGAACCAGAGGGGGATTCAATGGAGCCTGAATACCTACACTGAGACCCTCACCCTGCACCCTCAGTCTCAACTCTCAGTGTTTTTCAAGCCTTTCCCTGTTTTTTGTATTAAACAAAACATTAAGCTTTCCCAATGGTGTGGTTTTCGTTTTGAGAAAAAGTGCAAATGCAGTGTTTGTATATAAATCACATATTTTTTTGCTGTTGGTCGTGAAATTGCTCCTGCTTCCTCCGCTCTGTGTCAGTGGGGAAGCTGTACATTCGTACTCCTTTCTCTGAGCGATTGGAGCATCCCCAGGCAGCACAGCAAACCATGGTGGCGACTAGGAGGCAGCACAGCAAACCAGGACAACACGGAGGAAAAGGCACAGACAAACTGCATGATATGCTATTCAATGTTTATTGAATTCCATGTATTTGCAATGGATGTTCCTAAAACAACACATTTAACATCATCATCATCATCATGCTGCTGCTGCTAGTCCTTTGATAGTCAGCTGTCGGTCTCCTGTCCTTTCTGAAAGCCATAAAGATGACATTAGTCATTTAGATAACTTGTGTCCTCAATTACCATGGGATTACTGAAACTACCATGAATTTAAGAAAATGGTAGACATTAATCTAATCTGAATTTTAAAGCATTACTTTAGATCCCTTCCCTCTAAATATATCAATACACATTAGAAAGTGATGCTCCTGACTACCATACAAGTTTAAGAAGATAATATTGGTTTTAAAGAATTCAAAGCTATAAATAAACAGCAACAGGCTCTTTAACCAAGGCACTGTTAGCCTAACAAACTAGTTGTTCACACTAATCCTAATATTATCACTTAATATTAGCAAATTCTATTTTATTTTTAAAAACATATTGATGTAAATACATACACATATCGATTTGTTGTATAAATATTGCAAATCAAAACCTTTATTCACTAATAATTACCAAAAATCGTAGTTCTATCTCCTGTTATCAATGCATTCACATTGCCCGCCATGAACTTCCGGGGAACGATCCTCTTCTACATGAACCACGTGATGATAACCGTTTTTGGACTTCCGTTGTCGTAACTCTTCTATTATATGGCTCTGGTTCAGACCTACCATCTCGTGTCAGAGCTCAAAGGGGAGCACGCCTCCTTATATGTGCCGTATGAGTAGGCGGAGTCTTTGATGTGATTGGTCAGAAATTTTGTGATTTTATGTGTCTCAATTAGCTTAAAAACGATCAGTTTTAAGCAGACCTTGTTGTTTTTGAAGCTTTAATATTGGTATTGATAAATGATGAACTTACTTTGGCCTTTAGGATTTTGTTAAATGTAGAGAACAGTGTTTATTTCTGTATTTAACTCTTCACTCACCCTTTCATGAGTCGTGACCTGATTGGTCAGGTTGAATTTGGAAGGCTGACTGGGAAGAGAGGGGAGGTGTGGCATTTTGTTCCTTGCTGGTGAACAAGCAGTTTCTTTAAAATAATGTCTTTGTGGAAGGCTAAGAAATAAAATGCCTGTCTTTTCTTTTTCTTTTTTAAAGAAAACCCTCTCTCCGTTTTATCCAACCAACCCGGTATCACGGCAAGACGTGAACATGTGACGATTTACCATGCTGGGAGATGTGAAGATGTCACGATTTCGTCCCTTCAAACGTGACAGTTACACAATATTGTTAACCCATGTTAACCAGTGGAGAAATAACCAGAAATGCCAAGCAAATGCTACCCCGACGTAATGATTTATTTTGTAATAGTCACACCGAGTCACACACGATTACGCTGATTTTCTTGTTTCCTCAGCTGGTCGACACCTCTTTTAGCAGAAACAAAGGCTACATTAATGCATTAAATCGATGTTAATCCATATGTGTGGATCATAGCAGCTGGATCATAGGTGTGGATGTGGAATTAACGGACGTGACGTTGTGCGATTGAGTTGCCAGGCAACAGCTTCGGTTCATGTTAATTTACAAACTCTTCAACTACAACCAGTTATATTTAAAAACATGTTAAAAGGCCTCACGAAATACTTTAATGCAAATTAAAATGTAAATTTGAAGGAATGTGTGTATAACAAAATACATCGGTGATAAACGAAACCGGAAACAGGTGTAGGCAAGATCCTCAGCTCGATGATTGGATGGTTTAGCCGCAATGCATGCTGGGATTTGGTGTTTATGTGATGTGAAATCTGAAAACGTTTTTAAAAAAATAAAATAATACTTTATTCCGACTGTGCTTGATTTTCTCTTTGAAAGTCATCACATAACGGCATTGTAATACACGGTTCGGCTGCATTAAGTATTACATATCTGCCATAATTCTCTATTTATAGAACCCTGCTGAGAAGACTTCTTGACAAACAGGAGAACTGCCGCCAAAACTGAAAACGTGCCATGGATCATAAATATATAAGCAATTAAACAACATCTTACATTTATTTTTCACACAATACGTCTGCTTGCAGTATCAACACTAATTCGGCTGACTTTTATATTTGATCCAATTGTAGATAGGCTGTATTTACACCATAACGGTGCACAGCTGATAGAAAGGGACACCTGGTGGTTAAAGCACGTTATTGAATTTTATTATTTTATTATTAGATATTAAAGGTGGGGTAGGTAGGTTTCAGAAACCGGCTCGAGTGCACTAACATTTGAAAGTACGCAGCCAAAAAGAATCCGCCCCTTCCTTCAGACTTCCTTACAGAGCACCTCCTCCAACACACATGAACGCGCACATGACGTCAGCAGACTGGTGAAAGTGGCCGCCTGTTGCTGCGAGTCATTGAAGTACTGCTCCAATGCACGTCCAATGACGGCACGCCCAATGAGGGCACGAGATACATGTGTAATTCGTAATTCATGCCTTTGTTTCTACGCGTCTATTACTGTAATGCACTTTATGCCGGCCTAAACAAGACCTCGCTGGCACGCCTGCAGCTGGTACAAAATGCTGCGGCTCGGCTGCTTACAGGAACACGCAAGCATGAACACATCACACAAATGCTGGCTTCCCTCCACTGGCTTCCTGTCCATTTTAGAGTTAATTTTAAGATGTTATTGTTTGTTTTTAAATCGCTTAATGGGCTGACCCCTCAGTACATCTCAGACCTTCTACAGGTGTACACCCCCTCAAGGGCTTTGAGGTCGGTTGATCAGCTGCTGCTGGTAGTCCCTAAAACCAAGAAAAATACCAGGGGAGACCGAGCCTTCTCAGCGGTAGCCCCCAGGCTCTGGAACGACCTGCCCCCCCATGTCAAATTGTCGCCCACCCTTCAAACGTTTAAGTCCCGCCTGAAGACCCACCTCTTTTCCCTCGCTTTCGAGTCAGTTTGAGCTAGGCTATGTTTTATCGATTGTGCTTTTATTTGTCTGTCCATAGCCCTTATGTGCCTTTTTATCTATTCTTATGTATGCCTTTTTATCTATTCTTATGTGTGCCTTTTATCTATTATTGTAATATCATATTTTATTATAATGTCTATAATGTCTATAATGTCTGCTGTGAAGCACTTCGGTAAAACCCTCTGTTTTAATATGTGCTATATAAATAAAGTGGATTGGATAGTTATGCAATGAATGAAAAACTTGGGTCGCAGGTTCCTCAACAGTGCATTACAAGACATCTATCAATATGTGTGTATACCTCCACCATTAAACTGTCATTCGGTACATTTCTTATACTATCTACATACATCTTATAAGAGTATAATACATTATGTATAATATCAGTTTAATAATAAACAAATAAGTGCTTGAACATAGTTAACATAGCAGGAAAGCAATATATTAGACGTTAAGTACTTTGTCAGGCTTAATATTTATCTGTAGATACAAATGTCACTGTGTGTGCTGTATGCTCTGCATGTGTGACCATTAAAGAGGGTTTCATCCCTCCATATTCTTCTTCTATACCCCCAAAGCTTTTTTCCTATTAAAAAGAAGACCTTAACCTAAAGTACTCTTTATTGTTTAAGTTTAAGCCTTATTAGTGTGTCTGTTTTGCACATCCTCCTATTAATATCTAATAAATAATAAAATAATACAATTCAATAACATGCTTTAACCACCAGGTGTCCCTTTCTATCAGCTGCGCACCGTTATGGTGTAAATACAGCCTATCTACCAATTGGATCAAATATAAAAGTCAGCCGAATTAGTGTTGATACTGCAAGGAGATGTATTGTGTGAAAATAAATGTAAGATGTTGTTTAATTGCTTATATATTTATGATCCACGTCACGCTTTCAGTTTTGGCGGCAGTTCTTCCTGTTTGTCTGAGAACTACGGCAGATATGTAATATTTAATGCAGCCGAACCGTGTATTACAATGCCGTTATATGATGACTTTCAAAGGGAAAAGCAAGCACAGTCGGAATAAAGTATTATTTTATTTTTTAAAAACGTTTTCAGATTTCACATCACATAAACACCAAATCCCAGCATGCATTGCGGCTAAACCATCCAATCATCGAGCTGAGGATCTTGCCTACGTCTGTTTCCGGTTTCGTTTATCACCGACATACAGTATATGATCACCAATGTATTTTGTTATACACACATTCCTTCACATTTACATTTTAATTTGCATTAAAGTATTTCGTGAGGCATTCTAACATGTTTTTAAATATAACTACGGTTGTAGTTGAAGAGTTTGTAAATTAACATGAACCGGAGCTGTTGCCTGGCAACTCAATCGTACAACGTCACGTCC